TCCTGAAGTCAACAACGGCAGAGCGCCCTCCAGTGGCCGACACAGCAGCTGCAGTGTCTCTTCCACCAAACAGTCAACTCAGCCGGTGAATCCTTGTAGGCTCTGCAGCTACGAGTGCAGTCGTGCAGAGACTTTAGCCTTCAAACTGTAAGAAACGGACACATTATAAGATTGTCAGACGATTCAGCATCAGCTGAGGATCAAACCCACAACCTGAAGACTGACACACAGTCAGTGGTGTAGTGGCGCCTGAAGAAGTGGATACACTCTCTATTTAGGACCCAAATTATTAATTTGAACAATGGTGCAAACATTTAAACCAACCTTGTTGTATGAAATAAAAAACTGGATATTTGCACTCATAAATTATCTTATTATTCATTTAATTTAAGTTTGAATTATCTAAAACATATGATCATTTTCTGATGAAATAATTTCCAACCACAGCAACAAATGTTTGAAGAGGGAAAAATGTTACTCTGTCTTTAAAACTCAAAGAAAAATCCATTAAAATGTGAATAATGTTACTGGATAATCAAACAACCATCTTCAGTAAGAACTCAGCTCCAACTTCAGTAACAGACAACAGAGAATCAATTTGACATTGATCGTCACCATTTAGTGTTTTTATGAAACACTAAATTACGTGTTTGGATTTGTGTTCCTGAAGGTGACATCGGGGTCTGCAATCTGTACAATTATTGGAATAATAGTCAGACTTTGTGATCAATTGTATCAAATAAAAACAGCTTTTAAAAACTAAAACCAAACAGATATTGTGACATTTGTTGTATCCTGTGAATCGTCTCAAGATTAAAGACAAACTCAACTTTCCAACTATGTTTCTGTCAGATACAGCGGTCGAATCAATCAATCAATCAATAATCAATAATAATCAGTCAGTAGAGCTTACTGCTTCAATTACAGCCACAAACAGCAGCTAATGAACTGCAGCAGCTTCATGATCACAATCTTCCGCCACTATGTTAGTCTTTGTTGTTCGAGAGGCTGTTCGCTTGTCGCTTTCACTGAACGCTCATCAACAGGTGGCGTTGATTTCCTCTGACAATAACAGCAACAAAACAACAACAACAACTGTTTAAAACACCATGTTCATTCTCACAATAATGTCTGATTAATGTAAACTTAATGTAACTCGAGTTTGACCGATTGTTTGTTTATAATCACCAACTGTACAGACGTTAGCGTAGCTGTTAGCTAGCTGGCGACAGACGCAGCGACGCTGTTTGTTTATTTGTTTGTTTGTTTGTGTTTGTGTTTGTTTGTGTGGCCGTTCAGCCTCTGACTGACCTTATAACTCTCAATAAACTCCAGTTCTTTGTGTTATTTCCCTCCACTCTCCCTCCTTCTTCCTCTCGTCCTCCAAACGTCTTCATGACCGCGAACTTTCCACTCAGTCGGAAACGTCTTCAGCCGCCGCGCATGCGTCATCGCGTCAGTTCGCCGGTCGGAGCGAAGTCTCGCCTGAGCAGCCAGGAAGACTCTAACATGGTGGAGAGTCACTGCCACATTAGGGGGGATTCGGGAATACCAAAGTGGGCAAAGGGGAAACAACAAACAGTTTTGGAATGATGTTTTATATTCGGCTATATTTATATATTCTTTAAACTGTTTCTGTGTCCTGAAAATGTGAACATTGATTGAGGGATGGGCTCAAACATTGAGTTCACTCTGGGATCAACTATTTATGGACAGTATTTTATATTTTCTATGACCCTCGTGCACTTTGAGTTCACAGATTTAGTTTTCCTTCGTCAGCACAAATAACTCTGGAACAAAAGCCTTGTATGAAGAAGGTAAAAGTTCTGTCACTGAAAACATTATAATCTGGAATTGAACCCGTACCTCCTAATGACTCAGACTAGTTAAACTGTTTCTCTCAAAGCTTTTCAATCAGCACGTTAAAGATCATGATGTTTGATCCCAGAACCTGCAGGTCTTCAGATGTGCACCTGCTCGAGCCACCAGTGCTTCCTGGACTCTCACATCATTTCAGTATTGATAGATTGGTTTTAAAAGCAAAGGCTAAATGAGGAATATTGAACCCTGGAGTTTACAGTCTGAAGTCAGCAGTGCAGCTGTTGATCTTCACCTTTCATACAGTTTAGTGAAGCTCAAAGCAAAAGTTCATATTATAATACAGAAAATACGAGAAGATAAATGAGTGAAAAATGGTAAATAATGTCGATAACTTTTTTTTGCTGAGACACTTTGTTACTATTTCTCAGAGCTTTTCACTTTTTGTCTTTGAACATCCAACTTCAATATTCAGATTTGAGGGAGGATTAAACCCACAACCTCAAAATGAATTTGAAGGGAGCTGTTTCACCACTGGAGCCGTTTCATCAGACACTTCAGCTTCTTCACTCAGAGCTTTTGTTCTATTATTTGGACGTCAGCCTTCAAAATGTAAACGGTTCAGAATCAAACTCCGGACCTGAAGAGTTCAACAGTCCTTTAACAATGTGAGATATTGAGTTGGAGACTCCTCAGTTATGTTTCTTTCTTAGGCTTTTAATTCACAGAGTGGTCAAGATTGAAGTTGAACAAGTTGCTTTACCAGTTGAGCCCTTTAAACTGTGTTTCTTAGAGTTTTTCACTTTATTAAACTCTACTGACGCTCACTTGTTCTTCTTTGTGAAAAGTCTTTGAATCCTGAGAGATGGTTTGGGTCAGTCCTTCAACACTCAGAGACATTTAGAACTTATTTCTTAGAAGATTTTGATTCTTTGATTTGAATGGTTTTAATGAATTTGTGAACAAAATGTTTGCGCATAGAAGAAATCTTTTACTTCAACTCATTAGAAATGAGAACAAAAACAAATGTTTATATTCTTGTTGAGTTTTATTGACTCACTCCAACTCATTCATTAAATAACTGTTTCCCAGAATAAAAGTTGATCATTTTTAAACAGAAATAATGTGGCTACAGGCATTTGTCTCTTTCAGATTCAGCTTTTTTTTTCAGATAATTTATTATTATCTCAATGTATTGAACATGATTGTCACCTGAAAGCACCTTTATTGTACCGTTACTCTGAGATATTATTACAGTCGTTCTTCTCTGCATTGAAGTAAACATAATCCCAGATTACAGTAATCACAGAATGCACACAAAGGCCCTTTTCGTACCATATTACATTGAGGTATCAGTTTGATACTAGGAAAATAAAAACATACAACCCCAAGTTTTTACATTACAAATTACAGACATGGCAGATTCACACAGGATTAAGATCACAGACGACCTTCGTAATGATTACAAATGACATGAGCTCCCCTGACAGTTATCCCAAAATACAAAGAGATAAATTAGGCCTACTCATGATTTTGTCTCAATAAGAAAATATAAATATATAAATAATAAAAAATAAAAACTACAGCATCTCAGTACTGATCTCCAGATAATTATCAGCAAACTTTATCATGTCATCATCATCAGTATAAGTATTGAGCACAAACACAGTATCAGTACTCGGACTACAGAAATATTTCATTGGACATTAAGGAGTTATTCCTGATGAGCACTATCCACACTGACGACTGGGTCACCATATTTCAAACTGCTGGTGTTTCTTAAAGGGATTTCTGTTCACAATGTTGTTGCTGAAGAGTCTAGAAAAAGAGCAAACATCAGTCATTGAGCCACAATAATCTGTGTGACAGTATCCATTGAACTCATCTGAGATTGTGAATGATTCCTCTGTCAGCCTGCGAGTAATTAATGTCTGCTCACCGCACAGTGTCGATGGAGGGGTTGATGGAGACCAGTTGGAGTAACATGTGAGCTGCAGCATCAGTAATCTTATTGTGACTCAGACTGTAAACACAAAGAGAGGAAGAGACACAGAGGTACATTTATGTTATTGTGGGGAGTTCTCTGTCTATATAACTTTTGTTCTGAAGGTATTTACAGTGACAGCATGTTAATGCATCCACATAACTACATGGAAACTGAACACATGTATCCTGACAGCGTGACACTCACTCTAAGACTTGTACTTTGTGCAGATGTGTGATGAGTGTGAACAGCAGCTGGTCAGTGAGCTCACAGTGACTGAGGTCCAGATCAGTCAGCCCTTCAGAGAAGTCCAGCATCTGGGCCAAAGCTTCACAGGCCCTCTGATCCAGTGTGGTGTGACTGAGGTCCAGCTCTCCACCCAGGGCTCTACACAGGGACACTGCCCGTCTCACTGTGTCCCTCTCAGTTTTCATAGGAACCAGAGACAGCAGCTGGAGGAGGAGAGCTTTACTGGCTCTAAACAGGAGAATCAGAGCAAAGAGCAGACGGTTACGATGCATAAACATGAACAAGCTTCTTCTTTCAGTCATTTTGTGGTGTTTCCCACCTGAGGCGGACTCTGTCGAGGACAGGAAACAGCAGGTCCAGTCTGCTGTCCTCCAGCTCACAGTCCTGCAGGTTGAGCTGTGTGTCCTTGCTGCTGCTGCGTCTCAGGATGGTGGAGACGGCCCTGCAGTCCTCAGCAGTCAGACTAAGAGTCTCACTCTGACCTTCCTCTGGCAGATCCACACAGGAGGAGCAGGACAGATCCAGCCTGTGCTGCAAAGCCCTGAGCAGGCCGACTGCTGCCCCCTGCTGGGCGTCAGAGGCAGCACAACAGTGGATGAACCTCAGCAAGAGATTCCTGTCAACACTGGTAGGAAAACATAAATTAATTAAATGTAATATGAATACATATGTTCATTGTTACTGAGGTAAAGATTCACATATATTCAAAATAAAATAATATTAATTTAAGAATTTAAGAACAACTTTGAACTAAAGGTGATAAAGGTACATATATGTATTTTTAAAGGCGCTCCAGGGAGAGGTGCATTATATCCTGTGTGTTGGAGAGGACTGATACAGGTACAGCACTGAGGAACAAGCACTAATGTCTGACCTGAGTTGAGAAACTTTGTCCAGTGTAAACAGGATGGACTCTATTTGTCCTGTTGGTATGGAGGTAAACACAAGGTTCAGTTTAACTCTGTCACTGTGTTTGAGGGTGAAGAGCAGAGCAGCACAGTCCACCGAGTCCATCTCTCTGCAGGTCAGGTTGATCACATGATCCAGTGACCTCAGTAAACTGGGTATAATGGGACTGGCACAAGCTTTATAGATCTCTCTGATGGCAGTCAACACAAACCTGGGACAGGGCCTGAAAGCATAAAGTGTATTCACCAGGACACTTTATTCAAAGAATGAACAAACTGCTGTCAAACATAAGCCACAACAATGAATGTGCAAATGATTAAATAGAATAAACTGGACGTCTGTATCTGGTAAAAGGTGAAAACAAACTGATCACCTTTTAACTACAATCTTGTCCAGAAAGGGAAGCAGACGTGTGACGTTTTCCTGTAAGAAGCGGTTCTTCCTCAGGTTCACAGTGATGATCTGATCTAAAGACTGCTGCAGCAGACAGTGAAGAAGCTCCCAGTTCAGACAGCAGGAGCTCAGGTCTCCACCAACCTTACTCAAGAACAACTGGGTCAAGTCCTTGTCCTGGATTTCATGGATCAGGGAGAGTAGCTGCAGGGAAATCTTCTCCCTCAGTCTGCAGATAAAATGTGTGAATATATCTTAATAATAAATAAATGATGAATTCATTCAGTATTTTCATTTATTAGTTTGTGTTTGAGACTCAAGAAAGACTTTTACTTGATTGTTAGAGGACCATGGTGGAGCAGCAGTGGAATGAGACCCTGAGCAGGGACGTAGAACTCAGTCAGGTCTAACTGTCTGACGCTCCAGTATCTCAGCAGGGAGGCCAAACTACTGACAACCTTCAACAACACTCTTTCTGATGGTTGGACTGTCTGAGGGGTGAGAGAAAGCTCTTCAATAGCTAACAGACCTGCTGCTCGCCCTCTTCTTACCCACTGAAACAGTAGCAAGGCCATGTCACTGGAGAGGCTGAAAATCAAAGAGAAAGAAATAACAAATGAACTTCACCACTAACATTCAAACTGGACAACATGGTGTAATAAGAACAACAGTAATTATAGAAATGTGAACCTCAGACTGTGTAGTTGTGTTGTATGTCTGAAGAGGAGGGAGGCTCCTCTGACAGACATCTTTCTGGGTTTGAGGATGAGATCCACATCAGATCCACAGAGTCTGAGAACTCTGCCCACAGACCTGCAGGTTCCTGTGTGTAACTCTCCTGTTAACTGCAGGGTGTACCCCAGGAGCTGCAGCAGAGAGGACAACTGCTCCTCATCCTCTCTGGATCTTACAGAGATCAACGTACACACACTCTGGAAGAACTCTGGATCACAGCTAAAACACAATATGATGGATGATGAGTGAAAATACTGCATTACAAACCCTCTGATGTACAATGTCTTTAATCAAAGATTAGCTGAGAGAAAAAACGCACAGTCGGATTAAGTGTTTAACTGTATCTCTGCTATTACCTGTGATAATATCAAACTATATTAAAATAATTAATAATTACTGCACTGACAAACAGAATTAATCTTTTTCTACATTTGTTCATTTCAAATCAAATTATAGTCAAATAATGTTTTCACAAACTTCCTTTCAATATTATCAGACTTACCTGAGCTGTGAGATATAAGGCAGACACTGTAGGAAACTCCTCACTTCACTCTCTTCATGTGAGCAGCCTGTCAGCTCCACTTGTTTCTTCTCTGATTGGAGTTTCAGCACTTCCAGGAGGATGGAGGTCTTTCTCTCTGAGAGGTTTATGAACCAGACTGCAGGAGCTGACTGGAGAACTGACTGTAATGATGGAAGGACACTCAACCCTGTTTTAGTCTCATAGTCCTTCAGGTGAGAGTAAAGATCCAACAGGAAATCACACTGATATTGCTCAACATGATAATACATGTTTCTGTCATTAAAAGGGAATGTTTTATATCTGCACACTGATGATAACAGCTCCAGTATCTTCTCTCCTGTCTGCTGTTCTCTCTCTGCTGCTGCACAGAACAGATTCCCAAAGAACTTGGCTTCACCTTCAAACCAGTAACAGACACTGTAACAAGAATTGAACATTTTGTTATATGATGTCAACAACAGAAAAAGAGCCATACATTACTGATATGGAGTTTATCTGATAAAAGCCTACAAATACCTGCTAATGAACATCACACCATGAAAGTATGGAGCCCCTAAAGGGACATGGGGAAAAAGAAAAAAAATGAAACGATCTCGTGAGCACGAGAAACCTTATATTAAGCACAGGCAGTTGTGCTTCCTGTGTGTTATGCCTCTAGGCTCATTTACTGCGGTTAAACCTTTACTCTGATCTCCGAGGTCAAATCAGCCTCACAATTAAGTGTGAGTGTTTTATATATATTATATATGTTATATAAGTGTTATATTCTCAGCATTATGGTAATTGCAGAGAAACAGCGTATTCACTTCCGGTTTTCAAAATAAAGGTATTAAGAACAGTAACCTACATAAAAATAAAATATGTTACATTAAAGTGTTTAATGGACCATGATGAATTAAAAACATACTTAATATCAAGCATTTTTACTGCACCAATGTGGAGAAATTCAACAATAAAAATCCATATTTGTTACATTGATACTTGATTGACAGCTCTCAGTGAAGGAGAACCACCAGGTAGCAACTGCACATGAGCATGATGCATCAACACATGGCTCATTTGAATATTTAAATTAGCCATGTGTTGATAGGTCACAACAAGAAAATGTAACCAATGAAATTACTTATTTTGACACACATTTTTAGCCAATAAGTATTAAACCAACAAGGTAATGTGTCAAAAGGTGGGCCTTTTTTGTTATTTTCTCAAAAGGAGGACAAATGAGTGTCCGGCTTAAGGCTGCGCCTGCAGCTGGACAGGGCATTTAAAAGCCGCACTGTCCGGCCTAAAGCGGACGAATGGCCACCCTAGTAAAGGCTGACTTAACTGCAGTTAATGAGTCTAGAGGCATCTCGTCTATCAAACAAATATGGACTTTTATTGTTGAATTTCTCCAAATTTGTGCAGTAAAAATGCTTGATATTAAGTATACTTGTAGTCTAATATGTGTAGAAGTTAAATATACCATTCATAGCCAGGAATTATTGAGCAATGTGTTTTTACAGCACCTCAAATATAATAAAAGATTCCACTTGGAGGTACAAATATGGAACTTTTGTTTTGGCATTTCTCCACATTGGTGCAGTAGAAATATGTTTTTATTCATAATGGTCGCATTAAACACTTTAATGTAAGATATTTTATTTTAAATGTAGGTTACTGTTCCTAATACCTTTATTTTGAAAACCGGAAGTGAATACGATGTTTCTCTGCAATTACCATAATGCCAAGAATATAACACTTATATACTATATATAATATATATATATATATATATATAACACTCTTAATTGTGAGGCTGATTTGACCACGGAGATCAGAGTAAAGGTTTAACCTCAGTTAATGAGGCAATAGACAACTGCCTGTGCTTAATCTAAGGTTTCTCGTGCTCACAAGAAACGTTTCACTTTTCTTCCCCCATATCCCTTTAGGGGCTCCATATTACGTATGAAAGGACTACTACTAAAGGAATATAAACAATGGAGGAACGGACACAGACTGTACAGAATTTATGATCGATTCAGAGTTTTTTCTGTCTCTGTTGTTTACAGCGCCAGTGAATCTGGATGAACTAACACAAACAATCTGTGTGTGGCTCACAATCGCTTCGTATATTTTGACAGTATTATGTAAGTTACATCTTCACTGTCTGAAAATATTTCTTTGTCATAATGTCTAGTGTCATAGGGGGCTGTAATATAGTGGTCAGTGTGACGGTAGCCTCGAGAAAGAACTCTGATAAACATGTTTGTATATTTTCAACAACGAGCACGAGGTAACCAGTTGTTTTAGATCAACCCCCAAATAAATGTTACCTGGGTGCTGACGTAATCAATCAATACATGACTGGAAGCAGTGAGACAGAGTCACTCCAGTGGCTCATGGACAAAAGCAATACGCTGGGGAACTGTATTGGTTTTGCTCCAGTGAGCTCGAATCCAGCTTGATGCTATTTAAACTTATATTTTCTAGAATGTATTTTTTCTGTGTGTGGCTGTAATGTAGGGCTCACTTATACATTTACTACTGTAGATATGAGACTTGAAAATCACCAGTAATATGTTTGTGAATGTCTGACGAATCTGGTGACAGAGACACATCACAGCTGCAGCACACAACACGCACACACGTACAGCAACCAGTTAGTTTGAACACCAGTTGGGATATAACACGGGCGACCCGGTGGGTTTTAAGAGGTTTTATACATCGAGATCATTTCTATAAAATCCAGACCAGGCCTTTATTGGACACCTGTGTTTATTTGGGACCCTGTTTTTATTGGTAGTTTTACGGTACATAGTCTAAGTAAAACTGCCATGGAAAATTTACTGACAAAGACAAAAAACAGCTAGTAAAGTTAACTTAAGAAGTTTTAATAGAGACTAGTCTTAAACATAAATAAAAGGTCACTTGAAATATCCTCTGTGAATTTTACTAAGAATTTCTGTGTGGAAATTGTTACTAAGATTTTTCTAAGTGAATATCTCTCCAAGTATCTTAACATATCTATGGTAGCAAAACTATTCACAAATGTGAGTGGAGAATTGTGTAGCTATGTCTAAATCTGTGTTTGTATAATCAGATCAACAAATGTATTGAGATTTGTAAATATGTAGAGAAATCTGTAAAAGCAGACAAACATATTAATGACTCAGTCTAACTTTTTGCTCCGAGAGCTGGAAATACAGACAATTCATCGGTTACAACTCAGACAAGACTCTCAATTGGCTCTTTTTAGACATGACTTTTGTTAAACTTCTGCTGTGGCAGATCTGCAAATGCATGTGGGGATTTGTGTGTGTGTGTAGAGAGATTTGTCTGTGTGCCTCAGTAGCTACACAGCCTACAGACCACCAGTCAGCGGTAGCGTGACATTGCTGTGCTGTCTATTGTTTTCCAAGATGAAACTCTAAAGGTGCTCCGGTCGGGTTTATGAGACCGCTCAGTAGAAGCAGTATCTGATACTGATCACAGAGTATATTTAAAGCTTTATGTTTACAGTGTAGCCTTATTTATTTATTTATTATTAATTACTATTCTTAACAACATTGTAGATTAGGTATTAAATATTATTAAACATTATAAGCTAATTAGTGTTTTGTGCTAAAACTGGTCACGTGTGATTAGAATGAAAACATATCCCAGAGACCGAACCAACTCGGGACACATGTGTTATTAACCCCAGGTTCATTTTGTGCCGGAATTGTCCTTTAAAATACTGAAAAATGAATCCACTGACAGACAGCAATCATCTCTTTCAACATTTTGTTCAATTTTAAATTATAGTCAAATAATGTTTCACAAACTTCCTTTCAATATTATCAGACTTACCTGAGCTGTGAGATATAAGGCAGACACTGTAGGAAACTCCTCACTTCACTCTCTTCATGTGAGCAGCCTGTCAGCTCCACTTGATTCTTCTCTGATTGGAGTTTCAGCACTTCCAGGAGGATGGAGGGCTTTCTCTCTGAGAGGTTTATGGACCAGACTGCAGGAGCTGACTGGAGAACTGACGGTAATGATGGAAGGACACTCAATCCTGTTTTAGTTTCATAGTCCTTCAGGTGAGAGTAAAGATCAAACAGGAAATCACGCTGATATTCCTCATAATCATAATCCCATTCATTAAGAGGGAATGTTTGATATCTGCACACTGATGATAACAGCTCCAGTATCTTCTCTCCTGTCTGCTGTTCTCTCTCTGCTGCTGCACAGAACAGATTCCCAAAGAACTTGGCTTCACCTTCAAACCAGTAACAGACACTGTAACAAGAATTGAACATTTTATTATGATATGATGTCAACAACAGAAAAAGAGCCATACATTACTGATATGGAGTTTATCTGATAAAAGCCTACAAATACCTGCTAATGAACATCATACAGTGAAATCACACACACACACCATGAAAGTATGGAGCCCCTAAAGGGACATGGGGAAAAAGAAAAAAAATGAAACGATCTCGTGAGCACGAGAAACCTTATATTAAGCACAGGCAGTTGTGCTTCCTGTGTGTTATGCCTCTAGGCTCATTAACTGTGGTTAAACTGTTACTCTGATCTCCGAGGTCAAATCAGGCTCACAATTAAGAGTGTTATATATAATATATTATATATATTACATTAGTGTTATATTCTCAGCACTATGGTAATTGCGGAGAAACAGCGTATTTACTTCCGGTTTTCAAAATAAAGGTATTAAGAACAGTAACCTACATTTAAAATAAAATATGTTACATTAAAGTGTTTAATGGACCATGATGAATAAAAAACATACTTAATATCAAGCATTTTTACTGCACCAATGTGGAGAAATTCAACAATAAAAGTCCATATTTGTTACATTGTCTGTCTGAGAGCTTGATTGACAGCTCTCAGTGAGCTTGGTGCATCAACACATGGCTCATTTGAATATTTATTTTATTGGCAGGAACAATCTTATGGGACAAACCATCTAATGTACAGATTATGTTGAATTGAGAGAACATTTGTACAGTCAGATGAAATAGTCTAATTGTATGTGTGTTATTAGCTGTGATAATATCAAACTATATTAAAGGACAATTCCAGCACAAAATGAACCTGGGGTTAATAACACATGTGTCCCGAGTTGGTTCGGTCTCTGGGATATGTTTTCATTTTAATCACACGTGACCAGTTTTAGCACAAACCTCTAATTAGCTTATAACGCTGGTCAACGGGGCACCGAGTAACGTGAAAAGAAATCTATTTCTATTCCACAAACAAGACTCAAAATAGCACCACACTTACACGGTAGCATAATGAGGGCCCCTACCTGTAAACTGAAGCATTGAGAACGTTGTAAGTGTACAGACAGTTTATTAAAAAAATAGTTTAGAACAACAGTAGCGTTCACATATACAGGCGGGCGCCATCTTGGGAAAACAGTCACGTGACCAGTCCAACTCTCTGAGATGTGACTTGAACGCACCATCTCACGTGAACTCACGTTGTTGCCGGAAGAAAGCCCTGAACGCAACAGAGACTACTAGTCTACTAGTGCTTCCACAGGATACACACTGAAGAGATGGCGGATTATTCAACTGAATCTGAAGACATCGACAACGAACCCTTTCAGTTTGATGGATGTCCTTATCTTTTCGAGCCGGAGAGAGAGAGAGAGAGAGAGAGAGAGAGAGAGAGAGAGAGAGAGAGACAGAGAGAGAGAGACAGAGAGAGAGCGAGAGAGAGAGAGAGAGAGAGCGAGAGAGAGGGAGAGAGAGAGCAAGAGACAGAGAGAGAGAGAGAGAGACAGAGAGAGAGAGACAGAGAGAGAGAGAGACAGAGAGAGAGAGCGAGAGACAGAGAGAGAGAGAGAGAGAGAGACAGAGAGAGAGAGAGAGAGAGAGAGAGGGAAAGAGAGAGAGAGAGAGAGACAGAGAGAGAGAGAGACAGAGAGAGAGAGAGAGACAGAGCGAGAGAGAGAGAGAGCTACTGGTAGTCAATGCTGCAACACAGCCTCGTACTTCAGGAAACTGGTGGTGTACCTGCGGACATTGTGAAGCTATGGCCACTGAAGAGGAGTGGCTGTGTTGCACGCAGTGTTTTGTACAGTGTGAAGATTTCCCCTCTCTGATAAACAGAGCTGCACTTGAAACTTTTTTCCATGTCCCGAAAATAAATTGGAGGCAGCGACTCATACCGGAGGGACCAGAAGCAGTTATCCACTGAGTAAGTACACTAGATGAGTTATGTTTTATATCGGTGCGATTATTTCTGATATATTGAGCAAATTCGACTGGTCACGTGACTGTTTTCCCAAGATGGCGCCCGCCTGTATATGTGAACGCTACTGTTGTTCTAAACTATCTTTTTAATAAACTGTCTGTACACTTACAACGTTCTCAATGCTTCAGTTTACAGGTAGGGGCCCTCATTATGCTACCGTGTAAGTGTGGTGCTATTTTGAGTCTTGTTTGTGGAATAGAAATAGATTTCTTTTCACGTTACTTGGTGCCCCGTTGACCAGCGTTATAAGCTAATTAGAGGTTTGTGCTAAAACTGGTCGCGTACGATTAGAATGAAAACATATCCCAGAGACCGAACCAACTCGGGACACATGTGTTATTAACCCCAGGTTCATTTTGTGCCGGAATTGTCCTTTAAAATACTGAAAAATGAATCCACTGACAGACAGCAATCATCTCTTTCAACATTTTGTTCAATTTTAAATTATAGTCAAATAATGTTTCACAAACTTACTTTAAATATTATCAGACTTACCTGAACTGTGAGATATAAGGCAGACACTGTAGGAAACTCCTCACTTCAGTCTCTTCATGTGAGCAGCCTGTCAGCTTCACTTGTTTCTTCTCTGATTGGAGTTTCAGCACTTCCAGGAGGATGGAGGGCTTTCTCTCTGAGAGGTTTATGAACCAGACTGCAGGAGCTGACTGGAGAACTGACTGTAATGATGGAAGGACACTCAAGCCTGTTTTAGTCTCATAGTCCTTTAGGTGGGAGTAAAGATCCAGCAGGAAATCACACTGATATTCCTCAACATCATCATCCTCTTCATTAAGAGGGAATGTTTTATATCTGCACACTGATGATAACAGCTCCAGTATCTTCTCTCCTGTCTGCTGTTCTCTCTCTGCTGCTGCACAGAACAGATTCCCAAAGAACTTGGCTTCACCTTCAAACGAGTAACAGACACTGTAACAAGAATTGAACATTTTATTATGATATGATGTCAACAACAGAAAAAGAGCCATACATTACTGATATGGAGTTTATCTGATAAAAGCCTACAAATACCTGCTAATGAACATCATACAGTGAAATCACACACACACACCATGAAAGTATGGAGCCCCTAAAGGGACATGGGGGAAAAAGAAAATAAATTAAACGTTTCTTGTGAGCACGAGAAACCTTATATTAAGCACAGGCAGTTGTGCTTCCTGTGTGTTATGCCTCTAGGCTCATTAACTGCGGTTAAACCTTTACTCTGATCTCTGTGGTCAAATCAGCCTCACAATTAAGAGTGTTATATATATATATATATATATATTATATATTATATATTATATAAGTGTTATATTCTCAGCATTATGGTAATTGCGGAGAAACAGCGTATTCACTTCCGGTTTTCAAAATAAAGGTATTAAGAACAGTAACCTACATTTAAAATAAAATATGTTACATTAAAGTGTTTAATGCGACCATGATGACTAAAAAACATACTTAATATCAAGCATTTTCACTGCACCAATGTGGAGAAATTCAACAATAAAAGTCCATATTTGTTACATTCTCTGTTGCTGAGAGCTTGATTGACAGCTCTCAGTGAGCATGGTGCATCAACACATGGCTCATTTGAATATTTAAATTAGCCATGTGTTGATAGGTCACAACACGAAAATGTAACCAATGAAATTACTTATTTTGACACACATTTTTAGCCAATAAGTATTAAACTAACAAGGTAATGTGTCAAAAGGCGGGCCTTTTTTGTTATTTTCTCAAAAGGAGGACAAATGAGTGTCCGGCTTAAGGCTGCGCCTGCAGCTGGACAGGGCATTTAAAAGCCGCACTGTCCGGCCTAAAGTGGACGAATGGCCACCCTAGTATGGACTTTTATTGTTGAATTTCTCCAAATTTGTGCAGTAAAAATGCTTGATATTAAGTATACTTGTAGTCTAATATGTGTAGAAGTTAAATATACCATCCATAGCCAGGAATTATTGAGCAATGTGTTTTTACAGTACCTCAAATATAATAAAAGATTCCACTTGGAGGTACAAATATGGAACTTTTGTTTTGGCATTTCTCCACATTGGTGCAGTAGAAATATGGTTTTTATTCATCGTGGTCGCATCAAACACTTTAATGTAACATATTTTATTTTAAATGTAGGTTACTATTAATACCTTTATTTTGAAAACCGGAAGTGAATACGCTGTTTCTCCGCAATTACCATAATGCTAACCCGATGGCGCCCGCCTGTACATGTTAACGCTACTGTTGTTCTAAACTATCTTTTTAATAAACTGTCTGTACACTTACAACGTTCTCAATGCTTCAGTTTACAGGTAGGGGCCCTCATTATGCTACCGTGTAAGTGTGGTGCTATTTTGAGTCTTGTTTGTGGAATAGAAATAGATTTCTTTTCACGTTACTCGGTGCCCCGTTGACCAGCGTTATAAGCTAATTAGTGGTTTGTGCTAAAACTGGTCACGTGTGATTAGAATGAAAACATATCCCAGAGACCGAACCAACTCGGGACACATGTGTTATTAACCCCAGGTTCATTTTGTGCCGGAATTGTCCTTTAACATACTGAATAATGAATCCACTGACAGACAGCAATCATCTCTTTCAACATTTTGTTCAATTTTAAATTATAGTCAAATAATGTTTTGACAAACTTCCTTTAAATATTATCAGACTTACCTGAGCTGTGAGATATAAGGCAGACACTGTAGGAAACTCCTCACTTCACTCTCTTCATGTGAGCAGCCTGTCAGCTTCACTTGTTTCTTCTCTGATTGGAGTTTCAGCACTTCCAGGAGGATGGAGGTCTTTCTCTCCGAGAGGTTTATGAACCAGACTGCAGGAGCTGACTGGAGAACTGACTGTAATGATGGAAGGACACTCAAGCCTGTTTTAGTCTCATAGTCCTTCAGGTGGGAGTACAGATCCAGCAGGACATCACACTGATGTTTATTGGCATCATAATCCATGTATCTGTCATTAAGAGGGAATGTTTTATATCTGCACACTGATGATAACAGCTCCAGTATCTTCTCTCCTGTCTGCTGTTCTCTCTCTGCTGCTGCACAGAACAGATTCCCAAAGAACTTGGCTTCACCTTTTAACCAGTAACAGACACTGTAACAAGAATTGAACATTTTGTTATGATATGATGTCAACAACAGAAAAAGAGCCATACATTACTGATTTGAAGTTTATCTGATAAAAGCCTACAAATATCTGCTATTTAACATCATACAGTGAATAATATATAGTATATATATGTAATATAGTTGTCAGTGTGACGGTAGCCTCGAGAAAGAACTCTGATAAACATGTTTGTATATTTTCAACAACGAGCACGAGGTAACCAGTTGTTTTAGATCAACCCCCAAATAAATGTTACCTGGGTGCTGACGTAATCAATCAATACATGACTGGAAGCAGTGAGACAGAGTCACTCCAGTGGCTCATGGACAAAAGCAATACGCTGGAGAACTGTATTGGTTTTGATCCAGTGAGATCGAATCCAGCTTGATGCTATTTAAACTTACATTTTCTAGAATGTATTTTTTGTGTGTGGCTGTAATGTAGGGTTCACTTATACATCTACTACTGTAGATATGAGACTTGAAAATCACCAGTAATATGTTTGTGAATGTCGACGAATCTGGTGACAGAGACACATCACAGCTGCAGCACACAAAACGCACACACGTACAGCAACCAGTTAGTTTGAACACCAGTTGGGATATAACACGGTCGACCCGGTGGGTTTTAAGAGGTTTTATACATCGAGATCATTTCTATAAAATCCAGACCAGGCCTTTATTGGAGACCTGTGTTTATTTGGTACCCTGTTTTTATTGGAAGTTTTACGGTACATAGTCTAAGTAAAACTGCCATGGAAAATTTACTGACAAAGACAAAAAACAGCTATTAAAGTTAACTTAAGAAGTTTTAATAGAGACTAGTCTTAAACATAAATGAAAGGTCACTTGAAATATCCTCTGTGAATTTTACTAAGAATTTCTTTGTGGAAATTGTTACCAAGATTTTTCTAAGTGAATATCTCTCCAAGTATCTTAACATATCTATGGTAGCAAAACTATTCACAAATGTGAGTGGAGAATTGTGTAGCTATGTCTAAATCTTTGTGTTTGTATAATCAGATCAACAAATGTATTGAGATCTGTAAATATGTAGAGAAATCTGTAAAAGCAGACAAACATATTAATGACTCAGTCTAACTTTTTGCTCCGAGAGCTGGAAATACAGACAATTCATCGGTTACAACTCAGACAAGACTCTCAATTGGCTCTTTTTAGACATGACTTTTGCTAAACTTCTGCTGTGGCAGATCTGCAAATGCATGTGGGGATTTGTGTGTGTGTGTAGAGAGATTTGTCTGTGTGCCTCAGTAGCTACACAGCCTACAGACCACCAGTCAGCGGTAGCGTGACATTGCTGTGCTGTCGATTGTTTTCCAAGATGAAACTCTAAAGGTGCTCCGGTCGGGTTTATGAGACCGCTCACTAGAAGCAGTATCTGATACTGATCACAGAGTATATTTAAAGCTTTATGTTTATAGTGTAGCCTTATTTATTTATTTATTATTAATTACTATTCTTAAGAACATTGTAGATTAGGTATTAAAATGCATTAATTATTAAATTAGGAATTGACCACTGTTTTATTGGCAGGAACAATCTTATGGGACAAACCATCTAATGTACAGATTATGTTAAATTGAGAGAACATTTGTACAGTCAGATGAAATAGTCTAATTGTATGTGTGTTATTAGCTGTGATAATATTAAACTATATTAAAGGACAATTCCAGCGCATAATGAACCTGGGGTTAATAACACATGTGTCCCGAGTTGGTTCGGTCTCTGGGATATGTTTTCATTCTAATCACACGTGACCAGTTTTAGCACAAACCGCTAATTAGCTTATAACGCTGGTCAACGGGGCACCGAGTAACGTGAAAAGAAATCTATAAAACTGACAGACAGCAATCATCTCTTTCAACATTTTGTTCAATTTTAAATTATAGTCAAATAATGTTTTCACAAACTTCCTTTCAATATTATCAGACTTACCTGAGCTGTGAGATATAAGGCAGACACTGTAGGAAACTCCTCACTTCACTCTCTTCATATGAGCAGCCTGTCAGCTCCACTGGTTTCTTCTCTGATTGGAGTTTCAGCACTTCCAGGAGGATGGAGGGCTTTCTCTCTGAGAGGTTTATGGACCAGACTGCAGGAGCTGACTGGAGAACTGACTGTAATGATGGAAGGACACTCAAGCCTGTTTCACAATAATAAGAGTAAAGGTCCAGCAGGAAATCCCACCATTTCTCTTTAAGAGGGAATGTTTTATAGCTGCACACTGATGATAACAGCTCCAGTATCTTCTCTCCCGTCTGCTGTTCTCTCTCTGCTGCTGCACAGAACAGATTCCCAAAGAACTTGGTTTCTTCATAACGATCTGACGACTGAGGAACAAAACTGAAATAAAGAGAAGGAAACATTTTATGATGATTTTACCTCAGCTGCATAAAACAGCAACACACTACTGATGGGCTGTGCTGTATAAAATAAAATAAAACTTTAAAGTTTTAAAAGCAAAATATATTCACAATACATAAATATACAGAGTGGAATAACAAAAGTTATTTACAATCCTGTTGTGTAATGCTTCACCTTGCTCCTGAAATGAAAGTCGTGTAAATTACAGTTGCTACACTACATCTGTCTGTGCTGACACTAAATGATGATTATTTCTGGTGTCTGAAATCTTAATTTGCTGCTCACTATACAGCTGGATCAATGTTCATTGTGATCAGTACAGTTCAGTCCAGTCTTCAGTTGAAAGGAATATAAATTCAGCATTCCTTTTCTTTTTATTTTGTATCTTTGCAAAAGTACTTGATCAAAGTCCTCTCATTGACTCCTCTGGATTATTCACAGTTCAAACATCCTGCTCAGTCACTGCTCACTCTCCTACGATCAGGGTAGCCAGTGAATGAGTGTCCCATCCAGTATCCATAACCAATTATATTTGGGGACCAAATATGTTCATGATTCAGTCCTCAAAATGTAAACCACTTCATAATTGTCTTAAGATGAGTGGTACAGTAAATCCAACACTAGCACATTGATGTACTTAGAGGGGAGGGATGCACCGACACCACTGTTTTTCACACCAAAATAAACTGCTGACATTGCTTCTCCTCTGCCAACCTGCTCAACTAACGAGAGGTCACATAACGTGATGCTGCTGTAAAGTGGAATATGTAAAGTAGTACTTTTATGATTACACTTATGAGTACACATCCTGATGGCATGAAGTTACTTTTTAATATTACAAACTAACAGTGAGTTGCTGTAGATGTAAGAACACAATTCCACAAATGTAACTGAAGTCATGTGATGAACAATTAATTTACCTGAGCTGTGAGATATAAGGCAGACACTGTAGGAAACTCCTCACTTCAATCTCTTCATGTGAGCAGCCTGTCAGCTTCACTTGTTTCTTCTCTGATTGGAGTTTCAGCACTTCCAGGAGGATGGAGGGCTTTCTCTCTGAGAGGTTTATGGACCAGACTGCAGGAGCTGACTGGAGAACTGACTGTAATGATGGAAGGACACTCAAGCCTGTTTCACAACCATAAGAGTAAAGGTCCAGCAGGAAATCCCACCATTTCTCTTTAAGAGGGAATGTTTTATAGCTGCACACTGATGATAACAGCTCCAGTATCTTCTCTCCCGTCTGCTGTTCTCTCTCTGCTGCTGCACAGAACAGATTCCCAAAGAACTTGGTTTCTTCATAACGATCTGACGACTGAGGAACAAAACTGAAATAAAGAGAAGGAAACATTTTATGATGATTTTACCTCAGCTGCATAAAACAGCAACACACTACTGATGGGCTGTGCTGTATAAAATAAAATAAAACTTTAAAGTTTTAAAAGCAAAATATATTCACAATACATAAATATACAGAGTGGAATAACAAAAGTTATTTACAATCCTGTTGTGTAATGCTTCACCTTGCTCCTGAAATGAAAGTCGTGTAAATTACAGTTGCTACACTACATCTGTCTGTGCTGACACTAAATGATGATTATTTCTGGTGTCTGAAATCTTAATTTGCTGCTCACTATACAGCTGGATCAATGTTCATTGTGATCAGTACAGTTCAGTCCAGTCTTCAGTTGAAAGGAATATAAATTCAGCATTCCTTTTCTTTTTATTTTGTATCTTTGCAAAAGTACTTGATCAAAGTCCTCTCATTGACTCCTCTGGATTATTCACAGTTCAAACATCCTGCTCAGTCACTGCTCACTCTCCTACGATCAGGGTAGCCAGTGAATGAGTGTCCCATCCAGTATCCATAACCAATTATATTTGGGGACCAAATATGTTCATGATTCAGTCCTCAAAATGTAAACCACTTCATAATTGTCTTAAGATGAGTGGTACAGTAAATCCAACACTAGCACATTGATGTACTTAGAGGGGAGGGATGCACCGACACCACTGTTTTTCACACCAAAATAAACTGCTGACATTGCTTCTCCTCTGCCAACCTGCTCAACTAACGAGAGGTCACATAACGTGATGCTGCTGTAAAGTGGAATATGTAAAGTAGTACTTTTATGATTACACTTATGAGTACACATCCTGATGGCATGAAGTTACTTTTTAATATTACAAACTAACAGTGAGTTGCTGTAGATGTAAGAACACAATTCCACAAATGTAACTGAAGTCATGTGATGAACAATTAATTTACCTGAGCTGTGAGATATAAGGCAGACACTGTAGGAAACTCCTCACTTCACTCTCTTCATGTGAGCAGCCTGTCAGCTTCACTTGTTTCTTCTCTGATTGGAGTTTCAGCACTTCCAGGAGGATGGAGGGCTTTCTCTCTGAGAGGTTTATGGACCAGACTGCAGGAGCTGACTGGAGAACTGACTGTAATGATGGAAGGACACTCAAGCCTGTTTCACAACCATAAGAGTAAAGGTCCAGCAGGAAATCCCACCATTTCTCTTTAAGAGGGAATGTTTTATAGCTGCACACTAATGATAACAGCTCCAGTATCTTCTCTCCCGTCTGCTGTTCTCTCTCTGCTGCTGCACAGAACAGATTCCCAAAGAACTTGGTTTCTTCATAACGATCTGACGACTGAGGAACAAAACTGAAATAAAGAGAAGGAAACATTTTATGATGATTTGATCTCAGCTGCATAAAACAGCAACACACTACTGATGGGCTGTGCTGTATAAAATCAAATTAAGTTTCAAGAGTAAAATATATTCACAATAAATAAATATACATAGTGGAATAACAAAAGTTATTTAAAATCCTGTTGTGCAATGCTTCACCTTGCTCCTGAATTAAAAGACGTGTAAATTACAGTTGCTACACTACATCTGTCTGTGCTGACACTAAATGATGATTATTTCTGGTGTCTGAAATCTTAATTTGCTGCTCACTATACAGCTGGATCAATGTTCATCGTGATCAGTACAGTTCAGTCCAGTCTTCAGTTGAAAGGAATATAAATTCAGCATTCCTTGTGTTTTATTTTTTATATCAACCAATTACAATCGGTGACTGATCAATAAGAGCACCCTTTGTTTTATTTTTTAATTGCTGTAAAATTAAACTGAAGAGATGTTACCTAATTTATCTTTGCAAAAGTACTTGATCAAAGTCCTCTCATTGACTCCTCTGGATTATTCACAGTTCAAACATCCTGCTCAGTCACTGCTCACTCTCCTACAATCAGGGTAGCCAGTGAATGAGTGTCCCATCCAGTATCCATAACCAATTATATTTGGGGACCAGATATGTTCATGATACAGTTCTCAAAATGTGAACCACTGATGAGTTGTACAGTAAATCCAACACTAACACATTGATGTACTTAGAGGGAGGGATGCACCGACACCACTTTGACCAAAATAAACTGCTGACATTGCTTCTCCTCTGCCAACCTGCTCAACTAACGAGAGGTCACATAACATGATGCTGCTGTAAAGTGGAATCTGTAAAGCAGTACTTTTATGATTACACTTATGAGAACACATCCTGATGGCATGGGGTTACTTTTCAATATTACAAACTAACAGTGAGTTGCTGTAGATGTAAGAACACAAGTCCACAAATGTAACTGAAGTCATGTGATGAACAATTAATTTACCTGAACTGTGAGATATAAGGCAGACACTGTAGGAAACTCCTCACTTCACTCTCTTCATGTGAGCAGCCTGTCAGCTCCACTTGTTTCTTCTCTGATTGGAGTTTCAGCACTTCCAGGAGGATGGAGGTCTTTCTCTCTGAGAGGTTTATGGACCAGACTGCAGGAGCTGACTGGAGAACTGACTGTAATGATGGAAGGACACTCAAGCCTGTTTCACAACCATAAGAGTAAAGGTCCAGCTGGAAATCACACCATTTCTCTTTAAGAGGGAATGTTTGATATCTGCACACTGATGATAACAGCTCCAGTATCTTCTCTCCTGTCTGCTGTTCTCTCTCTGCTGCTGCACAGAACAGATTCCCAAAGAACTCAGCTTGACCTGTGACCCTAAACCGGTGGGAGAAACTGGAACAAGAATTGAACATTGATGTTATTAGAAACAGGATAATTGTTGAACATCTAAGTCAAAGTAATAAATACCTAAATAAATAAATCTGGAACTAAACATCAAGCTAACCATAAAAAGTCTAGGTGGGAGCGTTTTTTTTATTTTTCAAGCCAATATTTATACAATAGCAGTTTGACATAGATAATATGTGTTTAACATTCACTTCAGCAGCTGCTCTCTCATACATGTTGCTGTGTATTAAGTCTGAGTATCTACCCTCTGCCTATCAGCGTGTAGTGAAGAAACTGCCCTTCCAAATCACACACCTTAGTGAAGCAGGTTTTTTCTTTATGTCAGCCACAAAAAAAAGATTTCTGAATAGAATCAGTGTAGAAAACACACACAGCTTTTTTTCCATCCAAGTTTATTATCTAGAAACAGGCTCAAATGTCTCACTAAGTCACAAGTAAAACGCTTCACTCCCTCCCCACTTTAACTGTCCAGGGTTCTGACGGTTCTTTTTAATGATACATGTATCACATCTAAAACTGGAGGTCTGATCTGAACATTTAATAATCCCCCAAAAGAACAATATTCATTTAGCATTAACCGTTTTACAAAAGATAAAGAGTTTAAATATGTATATATATAATTATCATCTGCAAAAAAACCAAAGCTACTTACCTGAGTGAGCTGATGTATGGTAAAGCCTCTAAGAGGGACTCATGCAGCCTTTGGCAGGCAGGAGTTGCCCTATCGCAGTGGAGGCAGACATTAACCTGAGTAGAGATCTTCTGCATGACTTTTACTGCTCTTTCAAACAGCCGTCGTTTACCCTCAACTGGAAGGTGCAGCTGATTGCTTCCAAGGCCGAGTAATCTCCTGTAGTCCATCTGCTCTTCACTGAGAAGGAAAACCTCCCACAGCTGCCGTGGCAGAGGATCACACCTATAATTTAACAATAATCAGAGATCATTAGAGTAACAGCAGCAGATACAGTAGAAACACCATACTTTATTTTACTCAGGAAGTTTTTGCCATGCCTTTTTTAGACTAACTCATCCTGTTCAGGGTCATTGGGTCATTCTATTCTGTCATCCTCATTACATCCTGGATTCATTAATAAAATTAGTAACTCAGTTCTACTTAATTAGATATGATGCAACGTAAGCAGTAATTTGTCACATGCTCACACATACCACTGGACATTTTGAAGACATCCAAATAGTCGTCTCATTCCTTGCTCTGACACCATGACGTCCTCGAGGTTCAGATATATTTTCTTCTCCTTCGACTGAGTGACCACATAGGCCACAGCACAGCAAGGGTAAGGGCCGAGACTCTCTCCACTGAGATCAAGACGGTAGTCCAGTTTGTCCAGAAAGTAGACGCATGCTTCAGGACACTGGGACTCAAACAAACACTGACATAGGAACAGTATGTCCACATCAAGCCCACTGTCCTCAGTATCAGCCTCATCTGTCTCACACAGATATGGGAAAAATCTGTTTATCATTTCCTTGAAGAACCAGTTGGATGTATTTATGAGCTCCTGAGCTGGAATCAGACACTTCATCAAACTCGGGCTCTTGTCAGTTAACAATCGACACATGAAAGGGATCAGATGTTTCATGTGTTTCTTCTCCGTGGTGAGGCATTGCTGAAAAACCTCCTTGATTTTATCTGGATTCTTCAAGAGCCATATTGCTGCAAAAAACTCCTGCATTGTGTAATGGAGAAATGCATACGTGGTTATTGTCTCAGTGGGGGCACCTTGACTGTCAAGTGATTTCAGGAAGCAAAGGACACAGCTGTCTTTATGGGGCAGTTTTGTCAAGTTCACAGTTTTTCCTTCAGTTGCATGAAAAGCAACCTCAGCCAAAGACAGTATTTCCTCACTCTTGTTTTCGATGAAGGAATTCAGATCTTTGTTTTTTGTTTTGTTGCTGTTCATTTTAAGGCAAAAACGAACAATATTGATGTAGATCTCAGTTATACTGCACGGCTGTGAAGAGTCTTCTGGTGTCTCAGATGAAAAGCAAGCCGCCACCATCAGCGCATACATTGGGACATGGCAAAGAGTCAACAACTCCAAGTTGCTCAGAACCTTCTTTTGGGTGTCGCCGAGCATTGCAGATAAGTATGTTTTTATGGTCTGCTCACTAAAGCCTTTCACTTCCACTCTGAGAAAGTCCCCAAAGTCTTCTTCATTATCTGGTCTGCAAGTCACGATGACCTTGGCATCAGGTAGTAGGTCCTTCTCTACAAGTTTCTTTACCACTGAAGAAGAGAGATCTGTGATTCCATCAAAAATGATTGTAACATTGTCAGAGTTCCTCTTAATATCCTGTAAGACCTCTTCTCTGCCTTCATCTGGTTCACTGAACACACTGAAAAGAAGATCCTCCAAGCTCATGGCCCTCGTAATGTGGGATGTTTCTCTCATGTCAAAGTAAAACATGTAATCGAGCTCCTCGTTGTCTCTTTCTGCCCAGAGTCTCAACAGTTCATGAGACAGTGCAGTCTTTCCAATTCCAGGCTTACCAACCAAGAGTATGTTTTCATCTGTTTTCAGCAGGTCACTGGGGGAAGTTCCAGGTCTGTCTTTAGGGATGTACGTCTTCATCTTTTTAGGGCGACTCAGCTTCCTTTTCTTGCTCTTTAACTTCTTTATTTTAGATGGAGAATCACCTCCTTGTTTGTCTAATACAAGTGCAGTGTACGACAGATTAGGGTTGTTTCCTTCAAACAGATTTTTGTTTGCCATCCAAAACTTATTTGATATTTTTTGTGCTTTTGACTTTAACTTTGCCTGATATCGGTGGCACGGCCTTGAGCCTAAAATAAAAAACACAGTGAGTAATAAATATATCACATGAGATAAATATTTACACAGACACATTAAAGTGCATTATATAACACATAAAAAATAAATAATAAATATGTGACACATTATTAATCTGAATTCTGCTTCTCAATACCTTGTAAGTAGTTTACATCCATTTGTGTGTCTTCTTTAAAAGGATAGCAGCTGATCCAGTGGTGCAGGTCAAACTTCCTGTTCTCAGTAGAAGCTGCACTCTGTTTCTCAGGGAGAACGGATGCCCTCTCTACGGTCCTCTTCCTCGTCATGTCAATAATCCTGAGGAACTTGTAGCAGGCTGCTTCACCCTTTTTAGTGACTGAGTCCAGTATTTTTCTGGTTTTCTCGAAGTCATCTCTCTCTGTCTGTATTTTACTGACCTCTTCATCACTGAAAACCTTTTGCTGATACAAGTTCTCCACAATCACTGAGAGATTCTTTAATTCTCTCACAAGGTGGACTCTGGCATTCTCGACGTAATCTCTGGCAGACTGTGTTGTACTCGCCATGTGTCCTTACTGCTGTATGCTCTGCACACAGACACAAAATAACAGCTGGAATAAAACACTAATTAAGGCTGCATGGTATGTTGGGGGGGAGGCAGGGACCATACGACAGTGCTGCTCCTCTTCCCTGTAAGGTTTGTGTAGGTAGCATCCATCTCCAAACTGTAGTCAAAGTATCTGTATTATTATTATTTTGAGGAGATTTTTATTTGTTGTGTCTCCCATTTTCTCATTTAGGTTTTGTTTCTACTTTTTAACTTTGTTCTTTGTAATGTGAGACACATTATATTACATCTTTCGGTATAAAATGTGTTGTTATAAATAGTTTCATTATTTTTTTAGGACTAACTAAAAAGTGTGAAGGGCAGACAAAACATAATTTATACCACATTAAAAGACAATGACAGAGAAACAAGTACAAGTGATTTGCGTCGAGCACATCGTACACAGACAGATGCAGACTATATATCAGAGACACTTACACTGAGGCCTCAAAGTCTCCACTGATGATCAGACTCCATCAGCTGTTCAGTGACATTTTCCTGATCACAAGAGAAAAAAACAAGACTAAATCAATCATCAGATCAATAATGGTAGAGGCAGGTGAGACTGAGACTTACAGACACTACTCAGAGCTGAAAAAGTATGTTCACCTTTTGTGATTTAAAGTTAATATTCAACATTAATTTAATTATTTATTACATGGTCTCTGTCAATGTAACTAAATATGATTTTAGGTTAATACAACAGAGCATTTATATTTCACATACAACTATAATTATTGAAGGCACAATAATAATAATAATTATAATAATGTTTAATTGTATTTATTTATATATTTTGGTAGAAGAACCTCTAATTTCATTGTGTAATTACGTCTGAAACAAAGTTAATTATTTTGCTAATGAGGAAGCTAGGTTGCTAAGCTAGCCACAAACTTCTTCTGCAACTAAACTATAATTAATTTTATTTTAATTTAATAACTTTAATTAAAGTTTCCTCTAAAATAGAAAACAAAAACAGGAAACTGTCAGTCAGGAACAACAGACAAACTAATGTGTCTGTGACCGTTAAATGACCGTTGAGTGACAGTTATATGACCGTTGAGTGACCGTTAAATGACCGTTTAATGATCGTTAAATAACGTTAAATGACGTTAAATAACCGTTAAATGATCGTTAAATAACGTTAAATGACGTTAAATAACCGTTAAATGACCGTTTAATGATCGTTAAATAACGTAAAATAACCGTTAAATGACCGTTTAATGACCGTTAAATAACCGTTAGATGACGTTAAATAACGTTAAATGACTGTTAAATAACCGTTGATCTGTCCCCAATAAAACAAGTGTTGGTTCAATAAACTTTTTTGTTTTGTTCCTTAAAACATATTTAAACATTAAAGTTGGATAAAAGTAATAAATACAAAAGGAGAAAGTTAAAGTGAGTTAGTTTGTTAGCTGGTTAGTTACAGTTACTTTGCTAACAGCGTTACAATGTTAACTAACTTAAGTTAACACATTAAAATAAGTTTAAATACTTACAAATATATAAGTTACTGTAAAGCACAATAAAGAAATAATCCATTAACCTCCTTTACCGTCTTTATTTAACACAAACACCGTGAGCTCCGTCAGTTACCGGTTCCGTTACTGTTTCCGTTACCGTCAAACTCATTAAACCACATCCGACTGCGGTCCTTTCAAAATAAAACACGTCCGAACTTACAGGAAGTGACAAGATGGAGACCAAAGAGAGAAACTCGGCTGGGTTACTGTTAATACTGTTTCCTGTCGTTAGAGACAACTTTGGGAAGATTTTATTGGGTTAAACTCAAATCGTCCTGAATCTGAAACAGTGGATCAGATTAACTTCACCTGACCAACAATCAAACACAGGTCTTCTCTTAAAACTGTCTGTTTCCAATAAGAACAAATAAATAGCAGGTCCGTGTGTCCTCCTCTCTGTCTCCTCCTCTTTATCTTTCTTTTAAAATAAATCCCTGTTCTGTTGTTCCTCCGGACTCTAACCTGTGTACCAGAGTTCACTGCATCCTCACAGGTCGCAGAGAGTTTCTGATCCCTCAGCGGGTTTCTGTCTGTCGAAGATTGTAGAAATACAACCGAACAGCTTCATGAAGGACAGATAAATGCTTTCTGTCTGTCTTACTTTCAGTTTTACTCCTCCTGTATGAAGAGGAGCAGCCACTGACATCCACCAGATGGCCCCATTGGACCAGAAAACAGATTTAATTATAACAAATCAAATGTCAATAAATTGTACAAATATGTCGATACAGTGAAAAATAATCATTTTACCACCAACTTCAACCACAATAAACAAATACACATAACAAAAGGAAGGGAATATAAAAAATGCTTATAAATCACATTGTACTTACAAACACAGTATAGTATAGTTTAATAATATATATAATATAAATATAATATATATACTATAAATAGTAATTTTGACCACATTTTCTCTGCCAAGAGTTCAGGACAGTTTAGTTTGCATAAAGGAGTTGATTTGGAAGAATGACTGTGATCTGAGGGCAGAATTATCCTGATATGAGTCCTTGAATTTATAAAGATAATAAATAAATAAAGTTATAGATAAATAAAGTATCTTTCTGCTGTTACATCGTATTCTGTTACTGACCTGATAACTAGTTCGCTAACATTATTACACACAAACACCAATTCAACCGATCGATTAGTCTAATATCAGTCCGTAACTAGCAAAGGTAACGGACATATTTCACAATAAGAGCCCCTCGTTTAATGCATTCAAATAAACCGCTGTCGGGCTCAGTTGTTTTACTTTGAAAGGTTTTACCGGAAACGTGTGTATGTGGTTGTGTGTGTCTTTACACTGCTGCAGCTGACCGCTGACACGAGTGTATTTAGATTAACGTGTGTTTGCTGCCCTCCAGTGGTCATAATGAGGAACTACAACACTACAATAAATCTGCTTTATTACAAAGATTCAACGTTATTTTATTTATACTTATATAGATATAGATATAGGTCACTTTATGCTACTTAAAAATTATTTATTTAATTAAAAAAAGATTAATTAGTCATAAAAAAAAAACTATTTTAATTTGTATGATGAATTTTTGAGGAAGAATTTAACAATCTCACAGCCTGGGGGAAGAAGCCGTCTTTAATTGAATTATTATTATTATATTAGTGTAATTATTATAAATCTGTAACATTAAGGTTAGTAAAACATTCATTAATAAAGTAAAATAAAGATTGTTGCTGTATTCTTTATGCTGGTGGACTGTTAATGATTCCTTGTAGAAGAAGAAGAGTATTTGCTGCCCTCCAGTGGCCGTAATGAGGAACTACACCCCGGTGATTAAGTTAAGTTAGACATTATAAGATGACTACAATGCTACAACTTCCGGTTGACGCTTTCAAAATAAATCTGACCAAACTATGAGAAAAATCAATTGTTCTGTTGTAGCGAATGATTAATCATTTGTATATCGTATTCGCACTTTAAATTGCACTTCGTGTGTTTTAAGATTCAACACGTGATAGTTTAACTAGTTTCACCATAACTGACCAACATTTTATTAAAATATTACATTAGTTATATTACTCAGTAGCGTCCATATAAAAATGACATTAAAAAGTGGCGTTATATTTATTGATAACAGTCGCATAATTGATCAGTTGTGATAAGTAATACTGTTAATTCTTCAGTTACTGATTGTTTCCGTTGGGTCGTGGATTTGTTTTGAAATTACTGACCGGAAGTGTTTTCGTTATGTTATTGTGTCTAACTTGAGTATCACCTAGGTGTAGTTCCTCACTGCGACCACTGGAGGGCAGCAAACAACTCCACCAGCATAAAGACAGACAGCACCAGAAACTCATATTATTTATATAAAGCTAAATAATAATAATAATAATAATAATAATAATAAAAATAACAATTACGTTGATTATTATCATCATAGTTATAAACAGAATATTATTCTTTTTTTTTGGCCAAAAAAAGGTTGAGAACCACTGTTTTAATATGTTCTTTTTTAATTATGTTTAATTGTTAATGTTGGTTAATGTTTGTGGGTTAAATTCATCATCTTTCAATGTGTCCTATTGAACTACCTGTACAATGTAATGTAACGTTTGTCTGAGCTTTAGCTAGTTATTTTATGTATATCTATGTAAAAAATAAAATGTGCTTTGTATACAGATAATCTTCAATAACAGGACATTTGATTTGATTTCTTCAAAAATAAAACTCATTAAGTCATTAAGTAGTTTAATTGCTCGTTCCACTGTTACAACACTTTAGAAAACAAAAGCTCATGATACAGTTTCTTAAATAAAAAGCTCAGGTTGCTACAGGAAAACTTAACACATACATGATGTGTCACACAATTTTTTCCACAAATTATTCTTTTAAAGTTTCCTTTAAATGGACGTGTGTTCATAGTATTTCTGATACAAAGAAAGCGGCTTTTCAGAATCACATTCTTAAATTTCACTGTTTTACAGTTTAAGGAGGAGTTCACATTTCATAAGAAAAAGAAACATATGTACAGAAATAAAGCGACAGATTACGTCTTAACTTGATTTAAGCCCCATTTGGACGGTATTTATTTCACCTGGTGAGGTTGGGAGATTTTAACATCACCTACTTTGTGTGGATTGAATATGTATATAATAATACAGCTGCTTGTTTTTTTCAAATGTGGGAAAATGATTCTGCTGATGATGTGGAAACATGCCAACACCAACATACAGACCTATTTATATGACGACAGACTCAAAACATAAAGCCATCAGGAGAGCAAAACCACATTAAAGATCTTGAAATGTGTCAAATATGTTCAGATTTTAGCATTAAAAGTGTGCCGAACTAGCTATTGGCAGTTCCCATTTGCTGCGTACCGATCAATGTTCACACAACTATCACTAGATTATTTTTATACTAAAGAAAACTTAAAAACCTGCTGATTCACAGGCAAGTTCTGCAGCATCTTTATCCTATGATTGTGATCCTATGATGGGTAATAATAATAATAATAATAATATGTGCTCTGTATGTTCACATTTATTACAGTTATTATCCAGTAAATATTTGATTCCCCACCAACCCTGTGATGTTAATCTCTTCCAAATGGGGCTTTAGTCTCTCCAATGTTCTGCTGATTGGTTACTATACTGATCTGTATCCAAACTTAAAAGGTTCCCTGACCCCACAACTATAATAATAATGATGATGTTAAAATAATAAAAGAGTTTTAAGATCTACAGCAACACTAAGAGCATCATAAATGATCAACCAAAAGCTCTGACGGAAAGTAAAGTGTGAAGAAATGGATGAGATAAAGAAACTTGGTCGTCCTCAGTTTTGGTCCGAAAACTCTGAACTCATCTGGAAAGAGAAGAAAGGGATAACGTGTTATTAAATTATTCTTGATCAATACATTTGTGTCTATTTTTCTTTTCTAAGGAGATAAAAAAAAAAAACAGCTACAGAAACACAAACTACAGCAACTTTTGCCGGAAACTGTAGTTTACAGGCAGACAGCTTCTTGTTTGCAAAAAAAAGGCAAAGTAACTAGGAGAATGCGTGCGAGAGTCAGGGGGCAGCGTCAGTGCGTCAGACAGGAGGCTGGTCTGGGTCGTACTGGTTTCACTGGGGCAGAGCTTTGAGGATGGCGTTGACCTCCTCAGCGACGGCAGTCAGGGCGAACTCAAACTGGTCCTGGGAACAAGAAGGAAGACGATTACATCTGATACCCAGAGGAAAGACTCTGAAACTCTGCTCATGAAACATTTCACCAAAAAAAAAGGCGTAATAAATACGTTAAATCAAAGAATTACGACTTGTTTACCACCTCCTGATCATCCTGCACAGTTATTTCTCAGACTGTCACCAAAGCTTTTAGTCAGAGGTTTCTTGGTTCTGTTGACAAGTACTTGGCATGACTGTGACATCCATATGGACCATCCTGGTCTGCCAGTTGTACCAAGTCTCCCAACGTTTTTGGACCTCTTGTGTTATTTATGTGTTTACAGAATATACACTAGTAGTGATATGAAAGATAAAAATACTGTGTTCACCAACAACTGGAAAGTGGACCAACCTGAAGACTCTTCCATAGTTCCAGCAGTCCTACTGAAGTCAACAATGGCAGAGCGCCCTCCAGTGGCCGACACAGCAGCTGCAGTGTCCCTTCCACCAAACAGTCAACTCAGCCGGTGAATCCTTGTAGGCTCTGCAGCTACGAGTGCAGTCGTGCAGAGACTTCAGCCTTCAAACTGTAAGAAACTGACACATTATAAGAAAAGGTGTTTTCAATGAAATCTGTGACAAGGGCAATATAGTATATATATTATGGCATACCGTTTAGGAAATTAATCTTTGAATATATGGAATGAATCTTGACTGGTCATCAAGGCACTGCTGCCATCTTGTAGAAGTGAGAATGAGTCAGTCAGGAACCTTGTGGCAGCAATACTGAGCAATGAGGACATTATTAACTCATTGGTAAGTGCTTGTACGGGCCAAAGTCCTTCCCATAGTACCCGTGCCCAATACCGTTCTCCTGACGAAGAAGTTCACTCCCTTTTTAATGGTGGCAGGCCGACTACAACAGGCCTCAGGCTAAATCCTGACAGAAAAAGCAAAAAAGTTTTCCAGTTTAAGAAAGTATTGTAATATTTCAACTGATGCCATTTTGTAAAACCAGCTAATTCAGAAGGCTATCACTTTGATGAAAAGGATACAACTAGGTTTTCAATTTCATTCAGTATTCTCACATTTTTATCAGTATATCCAAGATTCATTCCATATATTCAAAGATTCATTTCCTAAACGGCATGCCATAATATATAAATATATATATAAATCTATCTATCTATCTATCTATCTATATATATATATATATATATAATATTCTCAGGTGATGGACTAAGATATTTATGTAGGCTGCTGGGTCCAAAAATACAGCACCAGACGGCAGGAAGCCATGCTCTCACTGTACCACAGATGGTCTGTGTTACATTGAGATGTTTTGCAAGTGGGAGCTTCCTTTATTCTGTTGGGGATGCAGAGAACCTCAATAAAGGAACCATTTGCAGCACATATCCTGGCTTGGTGGGCCGCCCCCTGTGCCAGTTCTATGGGCTTTTTTTTAACTGCTACAATCATACAGACATTCAACATGTCAGCAGATACCTAATCTATTCACCTCATTTATTCACTGTTATCTACTTTATACTCACTGACCAGCCTGCAAAATGTTCTTGTATTTAACTTTTATGGCCAGACAAGTTGGTTCTTTATGAAGGATAGAAAGATAAAATAGATAAAAATAGATTAAATGACACATTGTGGATAATTGTTTGCACTTAATCATACTCCAAATTTAAGTAACATGAACCTCTACTTGCCACATTTAAAGCAAAGTGTACAACAGTTGATTAGTGGACTTAAAGTAACTCCTTTAGTCCTTTAATTGGAGCCTAATGATGACAGTTCCAGTGGAGCACTGTTTATTCATTGTACAGTTTTGGACTACTTAAGCATTAAGCCGGTCTGCTATTGTCTGCCAGGCTTTCTCTCTTTCTTTAATTATGGTATTGGTATTGCCTTTTTTTCTTCTATCTTCCACCTCTTCATAGAACTCCATCAGGAGCTGTTGTTCAGCGGCCTTATCCATGTTCCCATCGGTGATTCTGTGAGCGATCGCGAGGTCTATTTCAGTATGCCGTGAACACGCACTTATCCCGACTATCTAAACCTGGCTTAACATAGCCGCACCTTTTAATCCTGGCTCGGCAAACGTGCAACCGATTAAGCCAGGATGCAGCGAGCAGGCTAAGTCAAGCCGCGCTTGCTCAATTATCCTGGATTTCTTTATTCTACTTTTGTGCAATACCCCACAGATGTTGTTGTTGTTGTTGTTGTTGTTGTTGTTGTTGTCCCTGTGTTTAATGTTGATAAATAAACGTTGTTCAGAGGATTTAAGTTTTCTGCCCAAATGTTAACTTCATACAGAAAATGTTAGTATTCAGGATCGGACCCTCCACACGTCTCTGTCACAGCTTTAGAAATCACTGCTTACAGTTTGTTTACAGTTTGTTTACTGTTTGTTTACAGTTTGTTTACAGAAAGTCAGAAACAAAGAAACAATGTGCAACATAAATGAGTAAAAAGAGTAACGTTAAGACTCATAATATATAATATATAATATATATCTATAATAATTCCACTCAGTTCTCTTACAACTGAAAGTTTATCTTTAAAATATAGATAAATATAAACTGGCTGAAAACTGAACACAGAGAGAGAAACAGGAGGAGCAGGAGGAACAGGGGAGGAACAGGAGGAACAGGAGGAACAGGAGGAACAGGATAAACAGGAGGAGCAGAGGCAGGTTCAGTCTGCTGTCCTGCTGTCCTCCAGGTTGCACCGTGTCCTGTAGGTTGCACTGTGTCCTGTAGGTTGCTCTGTGTCCTGTAGGTTGCTCTGTGTCCTGTAGGTTGCAGTGTGTCCTGTAGGTTGCTCTGTGTCCTGTAGGTTGCTCTGTGTCCTGTAGGTTGCTCTGTGTCCTGTAGGTTGCTCTGTGTCCTGTAGGTTGCACCGTGTCCTGTAGGTTGCTGTGTCCTGTAGGTTGCAGTGTGTCCTGTAGGTTGCTCTGTGTCCTGTAGGTTGCTCTGTGTCCTGTAGGTTGCACTGTGTCCTGTAGGTTGCAGTGTGTCCTGTAGGTTGCTCTGTGTCCTGTAGGTTGCTCTGTGTCCTGTAGGTTGCTCTGTGTCCTGTAGGTTGCTCTGTGTCCTGGCTGCTGCTGTGTCTCAGGATGGGGGTTGACAGGTAATGTAGTAATAATAATGTAAAGCCAGATAAAACAATAAGCTTCTTACTGGGAGCTACTACCTTCGTTCTCAAGAGGTTGATACTTCCATTTTAAAATAAAATAGCTGAGCTCATAATTAATGCTGTTTTTGTGACCTTGAAATAAAACACTATCTCAGAGGGTTTACCCCAGAAACATCAGTCTGACCTGCTGCTGCCGCTCCAGGATTTAGACCGGTCCAGAATTAGATGACACCCGAGATTAAGACTATCAGTTAACCCCAAACACATAATGGAGGTTTAATCTGCTTCCAGAGCAGCTAGTGAGCTTTATTGAGCTTTATGGTTTTCTGAGGCAGCAGCTGATGTTTCATTGTGCCACCACACACTGCAGACACAAAGCACCAATTAACTGGTGCAATCAAACTGAATAACTTTAGTGTTTATGAGCACACATACTAATCATAGGTCAAAATATTCAAACTGGGAATGATAAAAGCCAGAAGATGACTTTAGTGTTTTTTATTTTGCCATCCTCTCAGATGTTTGACACCTTTTATCAATAAGGTGACTGAGCTCATCTTCAGTGTACTTTTATCTGCTCCTCTGGGTTTGGACCATTTGTTGGGAAAAAGACTCTCTGAAGTAAACACAGGACAAACATTTATTTTATGTTCTTTTATTAGTCACGACTAAAAATGAAACAGGAAACTCATGTAGCTGAACTGGAATGTGCATAATTAAAAGGAACGAGTCGGATATTGCGTGGCAACTAAACACGTTCGTGTTTGGCTTTTCTTTCTGGGGTAAGTGGACAGTAATGGAGCCGCAGCAGCTACTGATGTTTTAACGGCCTAGTATTCCTCGCCTTCATCCTCCTCTCCGACGCTGTCAGTGCCCACCTCTTCATAATCCTTCTCCAGGGCGGCCATGTCCTCTCTGGCCTCTGAGAACTCTCCCTCCTCCATCCCCTCTCCGACGTACCAGTGGACGAAAGCCCTCTTGGCGTACATCAGGTCGAACTTGTGGTCGAGTCGAGCCCAGGCCTCTGCGATGGCGGTGGTGTTGCTCAGCATGCACACGGCCCTCTGCACCTTGGCCAGGTCTCCTCCGGGAACCACAGTGGGAGGCTGGTAGTTGATGCCCACCTTGAAGCCTGTGGGACACCAGTCCACAAACTGGATGGTGCGCTTCGTTTTGATGGTGGCGATGGCAGAGTTGACGTCTTTGGGCACCACATCACCACGGTACAGGAGGCAGCAGGCCATGTACTTGCCGTGACGGGGATCACACTTCACCATCTGATTGGCTGGCTCGAAGCAGGCGTTGGTGATGTCAGCCACTGATAGCTGCTCATGATAGGCCTTCTCTGCTGAGATAACTGGGGCGTAGGTGGCCAGAGGGAAGTGGATACGAGGGTAGGGCACCAGGTTGGTCTGGAACTCTGTCAGGTCCACGTTCAGGGCGCCGTCGAAGCGCAGGGAGGCGGTGATGGAGGAGACTATCTGTCCAATCAGCCTGTTGAGGTTGGTGTAGGTGGGACGCTCGATGTCCAGGTTCCTGCGGCAGATGTCGTAGATGGCCTCGTTGTCCACCATGAAGGCGCAGTCAGAGTGCTCCAGGGTGGTGTGGGTGGTCAGGATGGAGTTGTAGGGCTCCACCACAGCTGTGGACACCTGGGGGGCTGGGTAAACTGCAAACTCCAGCTTGGACTTTTTGCCATAGTCGACAGAAAGACGCTCCATCAGCAGAGAGGTGAAACCGGAGCCGGTTCCTCCTCCGAAGGAGTGGAAGATGAGGAAACCTTGGAGTCCTGTACACTGGTCAGCCTGAAAAATGAAGAAAACGTTAATCAACACAATTTCTCAGTTAAACATCCAGACTTCCACATATATGAGACTTTAAACTGACCAGTTTACGAGTCCTGTCGAGAACGAGGTCGATGATCTCCTTTCCGACTGTGTAGTGACCGCGGGCGTAGTTGTTGGCTGCGTCCTCCTTTCCAGTGATGAGCTGCTCAGGATGGAAGAGCTGGCGGTAGGTTCCTGTACGGACCTCATCTGAGGGGCAACGAGAACACTGGTTTACAGGGAGGCTCCATCTCACTCAGCTCACACACACACACACACACGTAAAATGATCTTAAAGCTGGCTAAATGTGAGACTGCCTGTGTTCAATGTATATGAACTATTGGCTGACATCTAGTTCAAACAACATCCTGGTGATTAACTGATCTGAAAATATATTTATCTTTGCTATAAATATGAATTATCTCTAATAAAAAGGCAGCCGGTTTGTTAGTGAAATCTTTACCTATGACAGTTGGCTCCAAGTCCACAAAGACGGCTCTGGGAACATGTTTGCCAGCTCCAGTCTCGCTGAAGAAGGTGTTGAAGGAGTCGTCTCCCCCACCGATGGTCTTGTCGCTGGGCATCTGACCGTCCGGCTGGATGCCGTGCTCCAGGCAGTAGAGCTCCCAGCACGCGTTGCCCATCTGGGCTCCGGCCTGGCCGACATGCATAGAAATACACTCACGCTGTGGAGAAAAGAGACAACAACCTGTTATTACGTATTCCTAAACAAATATGAGTCTTTGTTTGTGTAGCCGGTTCCCAACAAACTGAGACTGCATGTTTGATTTTGCATTAATCAGTTTGTACAGTTTGTCGTCTGCAGTGCACCGACTGACCCAGATCACACATCCACTGCTCCCCCTGAGCCTCCACACGAGTCTGCCGTCATTATCATACGACCTGGTTTTATTCTTATAAAAAGAAACACAGCCGCGTAACTTTACTGCCATCAAATGTCTACAGTGGTTGTAAAGTCGTTTTTATTGGAAACTGGTGGCTGAATGTGTCGGGTTATTGTCTTATCTTCCACTAATATTTAGCTCCAGTTTGTCATTGTTGTCATTCAGCAGTCAATGACGTTATTTAAAAAGAGTGAAATACTTCCATCTGCCCGATATGACATCTTCTCTATCCTAACAGGAAACAGGCTCGTGCTTTAGCTTGAAACTCGCTTTAAATGAGTATCCCAACTGTTGCTGATCAATCTTAACTCACTAACTAATCAACAAATTCAACAAAGCCCCAAATTTTATTGATGAATAAATAAAATGTATATTTTAATGTTAAATCTACAGCACTGTTTTTAAAACCCAGTGTCATTCCTGTAGTTTTAAATTAGGGCTGCACGATATGGTAATAACATATCGCCATATGATTCCTGATTACAGGGAATTATCATCTTGCATCACATTTAATTTTCAGTAAATAAAAACTATACAAAATTACTACTTTATTATATTTTAATCACACATTTTACCATGATCAAACAACGCAGCTGTTGCAGTTTGCAGAGCGCAATTTAGATAACACATCGATCAACTGTGCAGGGGTAATTAACAATCTATAACCCCGGGGTATGACTTTCTGCAGGCTTAATGAAACCACGTCTGCTGAGTCACATTGCGGCTTACTGCAGACCTGTGGTGGGTTAACTCTGCCTTCCTGCCCCTCCCAAACGGAGAGCGAGCAGGCCGACCTCAGATCAGTGAAAACAGGGAGGAGTGTAGAAGAGAAAAGCCTCCATGCAGACAGGAAGAGGCTCTGCTCCCTGCCCCCACTGCAAAGCGCCACCTTTGTGTTGCATTCAGGGACAGGGCGTTATCTGATGGCGCCTTCTCCCCCTCACAGAAAGAGCTGCGCCTCTTCAAGTTACAGCCTTTAAATGAAGGCCAGTCGGTCTCACGGTCTTCTGCGATCCGTTAACGTTATTTATGTAAAATAAAATGTAAGATAGAAGATTAAAATGGGACGGATTTAACGGTACTTTTCGTCCCGGTTATAATCGAAACTGCGCCACAAAACGTTACGCACACACATGCGGGATTATAACCTACAGTCACATTTTATTTAATTTAACAGAATACACGGATTATATTTAGTTTTCTTCCTTTATATTCACCGTTTAAAAACATCAACGCGACGTTTAGCCGCACAAAAGAAGCATTTAAATCTAAAAAAATGTCGCCTTCTTCTAACAAAACACACATTCTGCCTTTTACCGTTATTTTAAAAGCCGCAGTGCGTTTTTTTAAATGATTTTTTTTTTTTTTCTCCCTTTCATACTCACCATTTTGTTTCACTGTCTTTCTCCTTCACGCCGACGTTGAAGAATCGGTTGCTGAAGGCAGTACTGAGGAGGGGGCGGCGAGCCGGGGCTATTTGTGCTCTCACACAAAGGCGGAGCCAAAATGGCGGTTTGAATCCTCTCTCGGCGGGAGCGAACGTTAGGCGCCGCTGCATTCATGGTCAGCCCGGAATATTTAGTTAGTGACAATTTAGCTGCGTCATTTTAGGGAAATGTAATCTTTTGTGGGCCTTTTCCACTTCCAGTTTGTGCATCTTATCATAATTTTGAGACGAATATTTGTATGACTTATCTGCGTTCAGTCTGAAGACACCTGACTTATTTTGAAAATGCAATATTGCCACTGTATGGCAACAGAAAATAAAACATATATAATTTTCTAATTATGTTGTATAAACTGTGTGTTTATTTTGATCTGTTTATAAGTATTTTTATTTATCTAAATCAATAATAAGTGTGCTACTTAATTTCTAGAATTCATAATACCCATTAAAATCTATCACTACAGGCTCTGTTTTATCGTAATTTTACTGTGAAAGGATTCATTCACTGTCTTATCGTACAGTGGGAGCGGCACTTGAAGGCAGCATGACTCAAATAAGGAAAGACAGTGGCTCCGTTATACACCAGCACTCATACAGCAACAACACGTTTATTCATTCATTCAATTCATCTATACTTTATGCCTCAGTTAAATAAACCCAATTTAAGCTATATAACTAAACTACAGAAGATAATTTGCCAATCATTTGTCATGAATAACATATGTCTTTGAGTTTAAATATAAACAAATTAAATTAGTAGTAATAGATTATCACCTCTCGTTTCATTTATTGTGGATTTAACTCTATTCCTAACACCATGAAAGAATCCAGGCCTAATCCTGAGGTATTTCTGTTATGTAAGGCATTGCACACGCTGTGAGGTGGAATTAGACTTAATGCTTTGCAAGGAGGCAACGTGAGTAAATGAAGTGTGAGTGAGGGTTGTAATGTGTTATCACTGACAACAAAGCACACCAATGGAAACATGTCTCTGAGTTTATTGTTTCAAGACAAAGACACATAAGAAAGATGATATCTTGACACTGAATTCCTCTTAATCTCTGTGGATAATGACATGAATTTTGCAGATCATTCAGGGCCTGACTCGTAAATATCTGTCAAATACAGAATATCTCTATAAAATTTAAAGAAACCTGTTTATATAAGAGTAAATATCTTAAAAATTCATCATCAACTTCCACCTTGGAGGCAAGAAATTTGTAAACATGATTTTACATACAGTTCATTTCATCAGCGCTCTTACTATACAGTGCACCCTTGCAGTGGTTATACAAAGGCAAAACAGAGTTATGTTGTTCCAGTATAGCATTGAAAGGAGGCAAAGATTAGGAGGAATTTTAGCAACTGTAGAGACAAAGCAGTGAGTATGCATTTTTTAACAGTAGCTAAATGTTACAGTTACTGCCAACCAGACCAATTAATTTTATTCAAGGAAAAATAACCTTTAGAAGTTTGATGTACTTTTTCACTGGATGCCATTATATAATAAAAATGAATGGCAACAAAAGGTCTCAGTATGCTTCAAACAAACTGCTTGTGGAGAGTCTGAAACATGGTGTCCGACAAGCATGTCACATCACCCAAGTTGTACAATTTATTGTTTGTCATCCTTCTCTAGGATTACACTTTGACCTATAGTGGAACCTACTAGTAGTTTGCTTGAAGCATACTGACACAAACCCAATCAGTTTCGTTTTGTTTGTTATTTGAACCTTAATATTCTTCCCCCTCTTCCTCTCCTTCGTCCCCAACGCTGTCAGTGCCCACCTCTTCATAATCCTTCTCCAGGGCGGCCATGTCCTCTCTGGCCTCTGAGAACTCTCCCTCCTCCATCCCCTCTCCGACGTACCAGTGGACGAAAGCCCTCTTGGCGTACATCAGGTCGAACTTGTGGTCGAGTCGAGCCCAGGCCTCTGCGATGGCGGTGGTGTTGCTCAGCATGCACACGGCCCTCTGCACCTTGGCCAGGTCTCCTCCGGGAACCACAGTGGGAGGCTGGTAGTTGATGCCCACCTTGAAGCCTGTGGGACACCAGTCCACAAACTGGATGGTGCGCTTCGTTTTGATGGTGGCGATGGCAGAGTTGACGTCTTTGGGCACCACATCACCACGGTACAGGAGGCAGCAGGCCATGTACTTGCCATGACGAGGATCACATTTCACCATCTGATTGGCTGGCTCGAAGCAGGCATTGGTGATCTCAGCCACTGATAGCTGCTCATGATAGGCCTTCTCTGCTGAGATAACTGGGGCGTAGGTGGCCAGAGGGAAGTGGATACGAGGGTAGGGCACCAGGTTGGTCTGGAACTCTGTCAGGTCCACGTTCAGGGCACCGTCGAAGCGTAGAGAGGCGGTGATGGAGGAGACTATCTGTCCAATCAGCCTGTTGAGGTTGGTGTAGGTGGGACGCTCAATGTCCAGGTTCCTGCGGCAGATGTCGTAGATGGCCTCGTTGTCCACCATGAAGGCGCAGTCAGAGTGCTCCAGGGTGGTGTGGGTGGTCAGGATGGAGTTGTAGGGCTCCACCACAGCTGTGGACACCTGGGGGGCTGGGTAGATGGCAAACTCCAGCTTGGACTTTTTGCCATAGTCAACAGAAAGACGCTCCATCAACAGAGAGGTGAAACCGGAGCCGGTTCCTCCTCCAAAGGAGTGGAAGATGAGGAAACCTTGGAGTCCTGTACACTGGTCAGCCTGCAGGAAATAAAACAACAGAATGCCATCCATTATTAATTGCACTAAAATATGTATGACGTAAATGGTTTTTGCAGAAAAACTGACCAGTTTACGAGTCCTGTCGAGAACAAGGTCGATGATCTCTTTGCCGATGGTGTAGTGACCACGAGCGTAGTTGTTGGCTGCGTCCTCCTTTCCAGTGATGAGCTGCTCAGGATGGAAGAGCTGGCGATAGGTTCCTGTACGGACCTCATCTGTAAGTCGAAAAAAATGACAATACAATCACACCTTTAAAAATCCAGGTCTTTGTTGAAAGACTCATTCCAATACTTTTGTAAATATTTTTGCAGTCTTATCATATTACCTATGACAGTTGGCTCCAAGTCCACAAAGACGGCTCTGGGAACATGTTTGCCAGCTCCAGTCTCACTGAAGAAGGTGTTGAAGGAGTCGTCTCCCCCTCCGATGGTCTTGTCGCTGGGCATCTGACCATCTGGCTGGATGCCGTGCTCCAGGCAGTAGAGCTCCCAGCATGCGTTACCTATCTGAGCTCCAGCTTGGCCAACATGGACAGAGATACATTCACGCTGCAAGAACAAGTGGTACAGATGTCAAGAGCTTTTTGCACTGAATTTGTTTAAAATTACCATCATTGGCAACTGGAGGATTGGGTGTTGGCCGGATTAAAACAGTTTATTTTTCAATAACATTTTAAAATCCAGATTGTACATTTAAGAAAAACAAGAAAATAAGTCAGTGCATCCCAACAGGGAACATCAGTTCAGACTAAAAAAGGAATCAAGATCACGTGTTAAACCCAGTACGGTGTATTTCCCCAAGAGAGGAGCTGTTACTCAATCCCACTGACAAATAACAGAGCCAAGCTAGAGTGATCCCCTAATTCGACACACAGTATGTTAAAAAATTGGATCCAGGAACCTTTTAAAAAGTCATCAAAGAGTGGGTTTCGCTTCACTTATATAGGAGAAACATTGAAAAGCAGACAAAAGCCAGCTATGCTACTTTGCAGCTCTAAAATCAAACAGGTCTCCAACTGGCTTAATACACCAAACCAGACTGTTGTGTAGCACACAATATAAAACTATCATGTCTTTCTGAGGTGTTTTTCTACATAACGTATTAAGAGTAGCTCATGTGAGGAATTTAAATATAAAATAAAAAGGTCCTCACCATGTTTTCGTTGCTTGCAGAAGTCCCTCGTTCACCTGAGATGAGTGGCTGGGGATGTTGTTTAAAGTACGAGTACAGGAAGCTGCTTTATAGAGCAGCATCACTAAGCAACAGCCTGGCATGTTGTGGTAACTGGAGAAGCAAACACCATCTCCTTTGATGAAAGATGAGGATGAGGAGCACAAAAAAGAAAATCAACTGGTATGCTCCCCTGCTCAGATCTAAGGAACAACAGCTGTTGTTACATAAATGAGTAACCACAAACAATAACCTGGGTGACTGTGAAATATGATCCATAACTGTTCGCTCCCTCCTCTCCAATTTCACACTTTTAGATTTAAGGTGTGTTAGTTGTTACTGGGCAGTGAACAGGTAGAGGTTCAAACTTACTCAAGGACACTTAAACAGGCCGTTGTTTTCCTGCTGTTGGATGAAAGTCACAAAAATAGGTTTTCTTATCTTACAGGGGAAAGAAAGCAGATACCTCCCCAGAGTGACCTGAACAGGCTTTTGTTACAGATAACAGTTGCATCACCACTTTGGTGGAGATTAATTTGCAATGCAAAGTTAGGCGACTGCCAGGGGATAACATTAGAGCACACTTCTCTCAAAGGCAGGTTACATTTGAGATCAGTAACTTATTTTTCCAGTAAGTTTCAGAGCTGTATGTGATGGATATTTCCACTGAGTTTTATTACGTGAAAGAATGAATGTTAATCAAAGTGCTTTCAAAGCTGCAAAAGAATCTCATTAGTATGTTTTAAATGAAAATATTTACTGTCCAGTGATGGTCTTGATGCTGTTTCAGAGCCTCTTCCATCCTGACAAGAGACAAACTTGAGGAAATAAAAACTATTATTGATGTACTCTGTTGTTTTAGTTCAAATTGCTGTAATAGGTTTCACCTCTGCGTCGGAAGGTAACCCTAGAGATGTAATGACAAACTGTTTGCGTCTGCCAAGTAAGGATTGCCAGAACACGCTCCTATTTAGTTTCCCTAGTTACTCCTTTCACAGGCCTTATTTGTTCTCGGATGTAAGCGGATCTCGAGGCAGTTGCTCAAAGAGGCGTGTTTGCATTACACTTAATGGCAAACACTGTCATTGCTGGAGTACATATAGAGCTGGTGAGAGAAACATCAGCACATGATGGGGAGGTGTTGGTTGCAACATTACTTCTAGGCCTCTCATTGTTACAGAATGTATGAACTTTTCTAACAGATTTTAACACAAAAACAGACACATACTTAACAGTTGCTTTATTTTCCATATAGTATTTTTGTTTTGAAGTGTAAAATCAATATTTGATATGGTTGCAGTTTTGTGAAATACAATTGCAGCTTAGTTGTGTAAATCTTAGTATTCTTCCTCTTCTTCATCCACAATGCTGTCAGTGCCCACCTCTTCATAATCCTTCTCCAGGGCGGCCATGTCCTCTCTGGCCTCTGAGAACTCTCCCTCCTCCATCCCCTCTCCGACATACCAGTGGACGAAAGCCCTCTTGGCGTACATCAGGTCGAACTTGTGGTCGAGTCGAGCCCAGGCCTCTGCGATGGCGGTGGTGTTGCTCAGCATGCACACGGCCCTCTGCACCTTGGCCAGGTCTCCTCCGGGAACCACAGTGGGAGGCTGGTAGTTGATGCCCACCTTGAAGCCTGTGGGACACCAGTCCACAAACTGGATGGTGCGCTTTGTTTTGATGGTGGCGATGGCAGAGTTCACCTCCTTGGGTACCACATCACCACGGTACAGGAGGCAGCAGGCCATGTACTTGCCGTGACGAGGATCACATTTCACCATCTGATTGGCTGGCTCGAAGCAGGCGTTGGTGATCTCAGCCACTGATAGCTGCTCATGATAGGCCTTCTCTGCTGAGATAACTGGGGCGTAGGTGGCCAGAGGGAAGTGGATACGAGGGTAGGGCACCAGGTTGGTCTGGAACTCTGTCAGGTCCACGTTCAGGGCGCCGTCGAAGCGTAGAGAGGCGGTGATGGAAGAGACTATCTGTCCAATCAGCCTGTTGAGGTTGGTGTAGGTGGGACGCTCAATGTCCAGGTTCCTGCGGCAGATGTCGTAGATGGCCTCGTTGTCCACCATGAAGGCGCAGTCAGAGTGCTCCAGGGTGGTGTGGGTGGTCAGGATGGAGTTGTAGGGCTCCACCACAGCTGTGGACACTTGGGGGGCTGGGTAAACTGCAAACTCCAGCTTGGACTTTTTGCCATAGTCGACAGAAAGACGCTCCATCAACAGAGAGGTGAAACCGGAGCCGGTTCCTCCCCCAAAGGAGTGGAAGATGAGGAAACCTTGGAGTCCTGTGCACTGGTCAGCCTGCAGGAAATAAAACAACAGAATGCCATCCATTATTAATTGCACTAAAATATGTATGAAGTAAATGGTTTTTGCAGAAAAACTGACCAGTTTACGAGTCCTGTCGAGAACAAGGTCGATGATCTCTTTGCCGATGGTGTAGTGACCACGAGCGTAGTTGTTGGCTGCGTCCTCCTTTCCAGTGATGAGCTGCTCAGGATGGAAGAGCTGGCGGTAGGTTCCTGTACGGACCTCATCTGTAATCCGAAAAATACTTAGGATACAATCAGTTGTTCCCAAATCCTGTTCAACCTACAGTACAAATCTGAATCAGAAAACAAGGATATTACCTATGACAGTTGGCTCCAAGTCCACAAAGACCGCTCTAGGAACATGTTTGCCAGCTCCAGTCTCACTGAAGAAAGTGTTGAAGGAGTCGTCTCCCCCTCCTATGGTCTTGTCGCTGGGCATCTGACCGTCCGGCTGGATGCCGTGCTCCAGGCAGTAGAGCTCCCAGCATGCGTTGCCCATTTGGACACCGGCCTGACCAACATGGACAGAGAGACATTCACGCTACAGGAGCACAAAAGATAGAGGTTGAGTTAGTACGGCCTTGAATCTGCATTTGGGATTCAATCTGCTGAAAGGCGTTAACCTGCAGAAACATACCATGATTATAAATTCCTGCTGCTGACGTTGAGGGTCTGCTAGAGAAATCTGCTGTCAGTGTGTCCAAGATTTCTCCACTACTTATAGTTCCTCCAAACTCTATGGTAACAAGCTTGTTGATAAATGAAGGGTTAACTGGGTTAAGCAGAGGGGAAAAGCCAATAATTGAGCCGTGGAAAACATTGTGCAAACAGGCTCCGTCACACATCAATAACCCTTCTACCCACACTAAGATAATGTATAACCCTGACCCCTGCATATGTCCGGCACGTAGAACTCATTTAAGTCACAGGAAACAAAGCAAACAGTGCATTGTTTAAGTATTTGTGAAGATAAACTCAAGTCTCTGTGGGAGGGCTGAGATCTCCATGGAGATCTGCTAGAGTTGGTGAAATCCTAAAATATTTGTGCCCAGAATTCAGCAAATATTGGATGAATCCTTCACATGGCCTATGGGTGGTTTAGTATTTAAGTTTAGAGGAGCTGGGAGTAAACTCAGACTTGATGATGAATTCAGTTTAACTAAGACACACAAATACAAAAGGTTTAACAGAGACTTGGAAGAATAATGCACTTTACTCAGCGAGGTAATAAGAAACAGTGACAAACTATAACAAAGCTCAAAATGTGTTACAATTATAACAGGGCATTTAGAAAAAATATTTTTTATCAACTAAAAATCTACAATATATTTTACTGAGCATCTTTGAATGCCTGCCACACCTTTTTTTATTATTATTATTTTTGGATGTGCATTTCTGTTTCTGGCATCCATTGGTTTCCTTTTTTTGTATAATATGAAAATCTGTTCTGTTTTCTAATCCATTGCAGGGAACATCAGACTGTGTGATGTAATGGGCTAGGACATGTAAAAGCACTGCTATGATCCTTTAAATATTAACATGTTGATCGCTCTATAAACTACACTAAAATAGATGCACTATTGCACATTCTTTATGATCAGACCTCTTAGTCTACTCCCTCACTGTTGTTTCATCTATTGTTGGAGAAGAGGAAGCCCCCCCCCTTCTCCTCCTCCTCCTCCCCCCTCCTCCCCATGAGGCCCGACTGGGCTGCTCTGTTGTGTTTTCCACATGATTGGGTGTCCTGTTGTTATAGAAACCTCAGAGGTCACACTGCTGTTGCTGGCATCGAGCTTGAAGTGTCAGCAGTAATGTAGATTTACAGAACAACATGGCACAAGGCCGGGCTGAGTTTATCAGCATGACTTGGTTTGGTAACTGATACTAACTACATTAATTCACAAACCAATTTTGGGATAATTAGGTTATATAATATGAAAGGTTACATGAAACCTAGCTCCTTTATTCTAAAGCAGGTTGTTTCCTGACAGCTTGTTGTTGCAAATTTATAAGACGATCATTGTATTTAGAACCAGCTGCTGCGTTCTCTCATTACTGGTATACTCTTAAAGAGGGCCTCTTATTAAAGTGGCTGCAATTGTTGAATGGCTTGAACTGAATTTAAATTTAATTCTGCAAAACCTTTAATGGAGATACAGCTGACATATAATGATGACCACAACACCACCTGGTGTTGTACAAAGGAAAAACAGCAGGAAATACAGGAAGTGAGGAATGAGTGGTGATATTATTGAGAATACTCATAGGCCACTTTGATATATATACATTTTTTGATGCACGTGCATGACAATTCCTCCCTTTCAGCCTTGAATAAGATCCCATGAAAGACTGAAAGAAAAATGTCAGTCTTGCTCAACTGATTTAGGATGAAATAAAAAAGTAACACACATAACACACGTTGTTTCATTCATCTTTAATGACACTGATTTGATTCAGCAGATGGTGCATTAGTTACCACTTGGACTGATTCTTTATTCAATAATTTCACACAGTGTAAAAATACCCTTTGCATTGGTTTGACTTATGGAACTGACTTATTTGATGTTATGGAAGTATTAAGTGCGGTCTAAACCTATTTACTGGAAAAAACAACTAGTGGTAAATAGTCAGTACTGGTAACTAAAGTAGACGAAGGAAAAAAATCAGCAGCTGAGTTTGATGATAAGGTTTTTTTTATCCATCAATGAAAAGATGATTCAAAAATCAAAATAAAACCGTATGTGCATTAGAAAATGTAAGCCACACAACAAGTCATGTCCTCAAAATGGCCAATAAAATAAATGAAAAACTACTGTTCCCTTTGATAATCCTACAAGCCCAAGAAACTGCTATAGATAGATTTTGACAATGCAAAACAAAGCCCCACAAACATATGCTGTTTATATCCATGGTGTTCTCCAGGGCTCTATTCTTGGACACCTGCATTTTTCAGACAATCACAGCCACACTTCACAGAGCGATCCCACTTGGTGTCACAGTGTTTGTTGTGTTACAAAGTAAATTACGATATAATCAAAGGCTTCATGCAAGGAACTGGGAAAAGTTCTCAAAACATAATTTTTTCCACAGCCATTGACAATACATAACATCAAATATTCTGACATTCATACAGTACATCCATGACTTATTTGTCCTTTTTAAATATTGCCAGCACATTGTTTTATGTTTCATTTGAGTTCAGCAAAAGTATAAATAATTCAGGAATAAGAAATCAAAACAAAAACAAATCAATAAGCTTAATTTTGGGTGTACAATTTGACGATCATTTACCACATGGTAGTGAGTCGGGGTAAAACGTACTTTTTCTATCATTTATTTATTCAATTAGGTTTGTGTAAATGTGTTCATAAGAGTTAAACTAACTGGCACTGTTTTGAACTGCACAAACAAATCATTTGGTATCAAACATTGAGATGTACTTGTATTTCAGTACATATTTCTAATCATGTACCGATACATTTCGGTGTGTAAATAGACATTTAGTGACGATTCGACCGTGTCTTTACCAGATAAATATCTGAGGAGTTCGGGGCACAAGAGGAGGGGAGAATCTTTATGTGGTGTGAACCTCACACCTTCTGGGTAAAGTTCTCCGGGAAAACGCCTTTGGCTGAAATATCTTTGTTCTGCACCCAGTGAGACTCCTTCACGCCCATGAGCCAGCCGTCGTCCTGCAGAGAGACAGAATGCAAGTCATTGGAATTAAATAAGATAAATGAGTAACAAAAAAGGAAAAGGGGGTTTAAATTATACAAAACAAAAAAAAAATGTTTTGTGTGTTTGCTGATGAAGCAAAAGTCACTAATGAAGTACTATGTAGTTGCTTACAAGTGGTGGCTAGGATACATCTTTGGTAAAAAAAAACAAAACAAGTATAATAAATCCCTGCCGGCTTTTAAGGTTTTTTTTGTAGCTAGATAACATAATTTATTAATAATAATAATAATAATAATAACAACAACTGCTACGCCACCAAGTTCATGAGGTCAGTATCGGCATCCGCATTAATCTCCGGATCACAACCATTAAAAACTATTTTTGTAGAACGAAATAAACGCTGCTAAAACAGATAACTCAAAGGAGGGAATATTTTTCATTTGGGACAAGGTCAGACACCTAGATCTGAAATACAAGTGTAAATACAAAGGAGGAGACCAATACACATGGACAAGACAAACTGCGAGTCATAGAAAGTGTATGTCAGTGACCTGTTCATCTGGGTTGTCAAAGGCCAAAGCCAGAACCATATCGCCCATCTTCAGTTCCAGTTCATCGCCGTCAGTGGCGGCGTAATCATGTATCGCTTTTACCTGGAGTAAAAGTTCAGCAAAAAAAAAAGGTTTTGATTCAATGCAAATCTTGATTAAAATGTCATATCGCTATTCAAAACCAGTGTATTTTAATAATGAGTTTCACATGTTAAAGGAGGATAAAGTCGTCTGTTAACCTTGTAGAGGAATCCTGGAGGGAGTTCGCCATCCGAGCCATTGGTGACCGCACTCTGTACCAAAGAATAAGCAGAAGAGGTCCAGCTGTATTATTAAGGAAGTTAAAGAAATGGTTAACGTAGGTATGAAGCACTAAAAAGAAAAAAGGAAGTTCATAGTAGCAATAATAAAAGGTAAGAAAGAGAGAAAGAGAAAAGAGGACTTTTTCTGGCCAGAATTTTAGGGATCCTTGAATTCAAGGCTATAACCTGTTATCTCTTTGAACAGAGGTCGCACCTGCCCTCCCTATCCATCCGACCCTACCTGAGCCTCTCCATCATCGCCCCAGTCACCCTGTCCCACTTGGGCACTGTCGTCGCCCCAGTTGGGCTCGGTGTACGTCTGAGCGGTGTAGACTACGTCGTCGTTCGAGCTCTCCTGACCCTGAGCTGCTCCTGCGTTGTCCCAGCTGGGCTGGGCGTTGCTCTGGGTGTTACTATCATCATAATCCCAGCCACCTTGGGCCTCCTCTGGGTATTCATCGTGCTGGGGCTCCTGCTCTGCGGCGGTCTGTTCTTGCTATAAAGGGGATTGGGAGTTGTGGAGCATTGTGGCGGGTTGGAAAGCAAGAGGAAGGGTAGGTGGGAGGACAGGAGGAAGATGTATTGCAGAAGGCCAGAAGAGCAGTTGGGTTGTCAAGGGTTTAAAGTGTGTAATAAAGGTCGTGACCCGGGGTTGTGCGGGGTGTCATGAAGCCAAAAGGAAGAGGGTTTGATGAAGAAAGATGCAGTTGGAGAGTTATTCCACCATCAATATGGAAAATACAGAAAGAATAGATGTAGTTTTCCGATGAGGGCAAGCTACTACCTACATCTATCTTCCTCTGCTTTGCTTTACATGATGATTATAGAAAATGAAAGAGAATGGGAGCACATTTGACCCATACTTACCCACGAGGCCCATGATGCCGCCTTCCGTGGGGCAATAAGAGACAAGACAACTAGTGAGGTGTACGTTTTTACTCACACACAAAACTCCAAAGTCCAATTTCAGTCACCTTTTCAAAACACTTTTGCAGCTTTTGCATGAAATTTAAAAGTTATTAAAACTGCTGCAGATACATTTTCTGTCAACGCACTCATCAATTATTCTGCTCTAATTAAATTTGTATTAGATTGTATTCTTTTGTTATTTGTTTTATATATTTTATGTTTGTAATGAACATGGACAGAAAGAACTAATACATTCTCGAGGCATAAAATACATTATCAATCGCCATCAGAAATAAATCTGATCAGCTAATAAGTATCAAGCAAAACAAACATTTACATGCAAAATGAGGCTGAATGTGCATGCACATACAAAGCCATGCAGTGGAGGTTATTTCCTGATTAAACACACACACACACACACACATACACACACACACACAGATGACGGTGTTTACATGCAGTTTAAAAATAGTAAAATGTAAAGACCTTTAAAGATTTCTAAAAACTCAGTTCTTGGGGGCTCAAATTAACACCTTTTTTAAACTGCATGTAAATAAAGCCTTCAACCCTTCAGCTCTGAGCGAACCCTGCCGACCGTTGGCCTCAACAAAGCGCACCCACCTTGGGAGCTGGAAATGTGATGGGCTGTAATACCTCCACATCCCAGTCCAGCAGGTTCCCCCCTGACCAGGGCTCAGACTGCTCCCACACACACACACACACACAGACACTCAGGTTAGGAGGGTTTACTATGCCGTCGATGTGAAACCTCATGATTTTAGATGATCAAACATTTGCTCTGTAAGTAGAAAGAAACTCAGGGAAAAGACCACATGTAATGGTGGTGGAATCAAACATCCACTTTTGACAGATAAGATCAGCACTTCCATTAATATTGTTTGGCGAGTTAGTCTTTCCCGTTGAAACCAGCCTACACTGTTCACAGTTAAAGAAACAGTTTTGCCATATGAAAATACCGTATGAGTGCTGTATAAAAAGGGTTTTGCCATGATGTGTTTTACTGTTATCTTTTGCTGTCATGGTTTAAAAGTTTTTTGTCTAGGAATGACCAAACAAAAACAGTTTTTGTTAATCTTGTATTATTTTTCCCACAAAAAGTAGCCAGGATGGTGGAATCATCGGTCTGACCTGCGGCGTCGCTGTGGTGTCGGAGTCTGTGTTAGTGTCAGGCACAGAGGTCTCATCCTCGCACACGTCGACATGCTGCTGTCTCAGGTCCGGAGACGGCGTCAGTCGAGGTGGAGGACGACTGGGAGGAGGACCGGGCTTCTGCACCGCCAGGAGGGGTTAAATCAAAACCACAAAACACACGTGTGCACGCATGCAGAAGCAGCGAGGGACACAGAGACACATTAGTACACACAAAACGGTTCACATCTTTCATTGTTGCTGTAGCAACCAGGGTTTGAAGCACTCTGAGGCCTTCAGACCATCATCACTTTCTTCCTGTTCTCCTTTGATTTTATGTTGATTTCTTCCGGTTATATCTGGGTCCTTTGTGCAATAAAGGTCCTTTTTATCTGCATATTCGTACATATAATGTAGTCAATACATTCATGTGGACACATTCAGTTGTTTTGTTCTGTTCGGTGGTTGTTGTTACCTTTGGTGGTGAGCTGGCTGATTCGCTGTGGTTGGCTTCCTCACTGAGAGAAAGAAAAGGGGTAGGAGAGAGAGAAATTAACACAAAACGAAGCAGAAAAGGGAAAAAGAGGTGAATAAAGGATGGAAATAGGGACAAAGACGGATAAAGAAATCGTGTAACACAGAGAGTGAAGAGTAAAATAGGGAAGATGCTATCATACAATCTCAATCAAACTCATCACACGTGCAGTTCTCAGCTCCGTCCACATGAGGGCGACCAAACACACATCTACTGTCTCTCTGCAGGTTAACCTGCAGTGCAACATGGCAGACATCCAGAGCCCAACGTGCACACACGTGCAGAATGTTACTGTCGGGTATAAACAAAACAGGAAGTAGACAGGAAGTGTCACACAAGAGTTAGAAACGGGTTACAGGTTTAAATCCCAGACCTGCAGCGCTGCAGGGACCTGGAGGGAGTTTGAAGCTGCCCTTGAGCAAGGCACTTGACCTAGTAGTGCTGCTACGTGACTTCTGACAGTAGAATAATGAGGAATATTGAATATTGAATAGAATTGTAAAAATGTGCATGGAGAATTTTTGGGATCTGGAATAGATTATATGTCAGATTAACCTTAATAACCTCAGTAAAGTGACAGATTCATTTTTAGAAAATGTCTTTAAACTCTTAATAATATGACTTTATGCTCAGAATGGCACCACCTTTTTCTCATAAAAATATTATTTTAATTTTCAATTCTATTCTAAAATCCTGACAGTGTCTCTGATATTTTAACATAAATTAGTCCCAGGTTGTAAAAAAAATGAAACATTGTCCTTTTACATTTGACATCATATCCTAGAGTTCGGGACACCTACATTAACTGTATTTTGTTAGCTTTGCTGCAGTAGCCTGTAGTTTACGTTCCCTTGTTGCCAAAAACAAGCACAGAGTTAATTTTGTAGGTGAAGGTGAAGCAAAGCGCTGCATGCTCGGCCTGTTTGGGTCACATGAGGATCAAAGTGCAGCACTTTTTACCTCTTGGCACCTTCTTCTGTCTTTGCCGCTGCAGTACCATCTTTTCTGCAGTAGGGGGGGCGTTGCAAGGGACGTTACTCTCATTTGCTCTACATGGCGTTAACTCTTTAGAAAAAGCTGAAAGCGTCTGACTGAAAACTCTGTTCACTTACTTCTGCAGCCGCTGCTCTTCCAGTTTGGTCATGATGTCGTTCAGGTTTTGGCTGAGCTGAGGAGAAAACGGAGCACGATGAGGATCAATAAATACATCAGCTGATCAGATCAATCAGTCGCACATGAACAGTTTGACTCACCTTGCTCATTTCCCTGTGGAACCTCTCCTGATGACCGGCCAGACCCTGGAATGTGTTAACATAGATGGCAACACGACTGCACACACACACACACACACACACACAGACACACACAGACACACACACACACACACACACACAGACACACACACACACACACACACACACACACAGACACACATAAACATTTGGACTGAGTCGTCTTTAAATATTTTGCAGGAGAAGAAAAAAATTGTCTCACTTGTCCCACAATGCTGGAAGCTCATCTTGTAACTCCACGTTCAGCTCCTCAAAGATCTTCTGAGCTCGACCCAGCTCCTCCTCCGCCTGCACACGCACACACACACACACACACACACACACACACACACACACACACACACACACAGTAATATATCTGTACTCGGTGTGTCTGTAACACAAATGATTGAAGAAAGACAGTTTTTCATGAGCACACGTACATGCAGACAAACATACAGGGTTTAATAACTACAGGCATGTGAATGCTGTGAGCATTCAAATGATGAAGAGTCTAACTGATGATGACGAAGAGTGAATAAAAGGGTGTTTCTGTCTATCACATAAAAGCAATGTAAACACTAGTTTGGATTATGGATCAAATTATAGCGAGGCTCTCTACACATGATGATGAGCAGTTGAAGAGAAGAACTAACCTCAGGTGTTGTTTGTAGGTGAGTAAAGTCGACAGGTTTGACTGACACAACCTGAATAAATATTTTATTAAAAGTTCTGGGATGGTCATTCTTTACCTTTAGTTGCCCCTCACTGTGAAACTGCTATGTTAAAGTAATTTAAGGTAGTTCTTATCACGCCGATGTTCGTTCGTGTTTTTAGTTATTTTAAAGTCTGGAAATTGGAAGTTTTATGTTTTTAAAAAACGGCTTGTTCTTCCAACTTCAGTTTACTCATCTGAAAACAGAAATCTGTTGGCTTTAAAGAAAGCAGTCACATTGTTAATGTAGCCAGCATCTCCAGCTCAGATAGTTCTTTAACCCTGATTGATCGTTTCATTCTCCATTTCCTTCACAAGATAAAAGCACCAAACCCTGATCGGGATCATTAAGTTCATCTTCTTCCAAAAACCAAACAATCCTTCTTTTGTGTTCAATTGAACTAATTCATTATGAACATGTGTAGAGAGCCTGAGGAGGCTGACAGATTTGGGGGTGAGGAGGGGGAGTCAGTGATGAACCAGAGTTTCACCTGGTTGTAGGAGAGGTTAGTCTGAGCCACCTGGTGGGCTGATATCAAACCCTGAGCCCAGCTGGGAGTCGCCATCTCCAACAGGGCTGCTGGCTAACCACACACACCATGCAAGAGAGAGGAGGGGAGAGAGGGGAGAGAGAGAGAGAGGGAGGGAGAGAAAAGGAGGAAAAAGAGAGAGAACAGACCAGAAAGAAGATGAAGGAGAAGAGAGAAAAAGAAGACAAAAAGCAAACAAGAACAATTCAAGACAAACGCAAACATGTTAATGAGCATTTTAATTAAAGAATCAGTTTTAATTATTACGAGTTAATTCGCTAACAGAATAACAGTTTTTAACTTAAGGTGGTATGAACTGAAATGCAATAAGCCACTCATACCGCCTTAAGTCAAAAACTCTGAACTATCCTTTCAAACTTTTAAACAGAACACGCTCAAACACGCACAAGCAATAACTGACCCTTCCTAAGCTCCGCCCCTTTCTGCTCCGTGCTCCAATAACAGTTGAGCAACAACCTCCTCCTTTCCTGTACTTAGATATGCTACGTGCTAAGCTAATCTATGTTGAAAAGACAACCCCTAGATACATGTGACAGCTCATGCTCGCCAGTTTAAGATTTTACTATATATGTGGTTGTCTTGTCAACATAGATTGGCTTAGCACGTAGCATAGGTTCAAAAAGGGGCGGAGCTTAGGAAGGGTCAATACATCAGCCTATAGAAATGAACGCAGACACGCTCTCGTGGTCACCTTTGCGATCTTGGCCTCGTCCTTCTTCTTTCCTTTCTGTAAGGAGGCGAAGTGATGCCTGGCGCTGTCGAAGTCCACCATCTTCCTGTCGCGCTTCGCTATACGAGCCTGTAGCAGGTTAGAATCAGAAACATTTCCACAGTTCGCTCCTTCTTTATCAATACTTTACACGTTCTATTCTCTTGAATTTAGAACATATATTTTACAGATTTTATTTGTTCATTTTTATTTACAGTACTTGTTTTACTTTCTTTTATTTTGGATATTTTGACCGTGTACCACAACAACTTTTATATGTCCTAATAATGTCGTTTCTCTGGTGTTTTGGTACAAATGAGATATCTTAAGGATTGATCTTGACTTCGTATCGAATAACAACTAAATACAGAAACTTACACACCTTAATATCAGGAAACTGAGTCAGGTACGTGTCCATGCAGGTCACAGATTTGTCCGTGAGGTTCTGGTGGTAGTCTAACCACAGAGTGTCTGTGTCCTGAAACACAAACATTTTACATCATAACCAAATACAGATCAAAACTTTTTCTAACTAAAATGAAGGATATCCTTCTTTTTTCACAGTTCTAAACTCTATTCTATTCTATTTCTATTCTATTTATCTAGTTATTAAACAAATAAATCACATGTTCTGTTATAGAGACCAATATACGGTGGTGGAAGAAGTATTAGCATCAAAATATACTTAAAATACCAAAAGTAAAAGTACTCATAATAATATTTCTGGATTATAATTACTGATGTATGAATGTGTTCATCACTTTGTTGTTGCTGCTGGTAAAGGTGGAGCTAATTGTACTATTATTATTAGCTTAACTTATAATCATACATCGTATTTTATTAGTTGATTATATTGTATATTGATAATCAAGATCTACAAAGTAATGAGTAACTAGAGTTATCAAATAGATGTGGTGGAGTAGAAATAGAGAGTTTAAATGTACTTAATAACGACCACCAGTATCAGCTCTCAATTATCTGCTGCTCTGAAACCAACAACTACGTCCTCTACTGCAGAGCTGAACCAGTGTTCCCCACATGGACTTCAACTGGAAACCATTAACCGCCAGAATAACTCCCACTGTTGGTTCTACGCTTCCCTCTGAAGACGACGGCTGCGCTCTGACTTTAACATGATTTAGTGGTAAATAAGCCGCTGGGCTGTGGGAAACACTGGATGCTGTCTGCGTTTTACCTCCAAGTTATTGTCCATCTCCTTCTCTATCATCTCCTTCAGGACGGAAGGAGAGACGCATGCAGTTGAGAAAAAGAAAGTGTGTCAGCAAGTAGAGAAAGACAGTGAAAGAAGTTAAAAAAGATTCTTTATAAAGCAGCTTTTATTAGTCATTTTAAATCACACTAACTTAGTAAGTTACAGAAAGATCTATAACCTCTCCCTGCTACAGTTGTGTGATTTTAACAAGCAGCTGCAGTGCAAGCAGAGACCAAAGAAAGTGTAAAGAAGAAGAAGAAGAAGAAAGGAAAAGGTCATGGTTTCCTGCTCTCACCTCTGCCAGCGCGTCCATCTCCTCTTTGCCAAACCACTCAGGTTCGTACATGTCGGCCAAACAGTCCTGAAGCCGCCGCGACGCTTCGTGCATCGCTGAAACACAAAGAGTCATACCTGCTTCTGGATACAGTACGTTAAACCACCCAACAGCATAAAGAATGAATATAAAACAATCTCTACTGCAGCCAGCTGCAATATTACAATGTATCAATAAGAGTAATAATAATCTGATGTAAGGTTATTACAGTTAACTAAAACTAGGTGTGAAACAAACATTCACTGAGTTCACTGAAATAAAAACAAAATGTTGTGTACTTTATATTGCAAACTAACTAAAATACAATACAAATCTACAGGAAACATCACACTTGTCCACTGGGGGGCGCCAGAATCAACACAACATATAAAGCTGTTAACAGTTCTTCCACGGCTGCTGCCAGGTTACAGAGCCTGTAAGTCAAACCAGTTAGTTGAATGTTCAGCACTCACTTTTCACTGCTGTCAGGTAGGCTTTCAGGTCTTTCTGCAGTTTGGTTCCTTCGTTCTTAGAGAGCAAACAGAGAGTTTGAGAGAGAGAGAATAAAGGACTGAACTAACAGGATGGAGTTATTTGAGCTGAATTTAGCCTTAAAATATCTCTAAACAGTGATAAAAATCCTTATTTAACCCATCCTTATAAAGTCACCCAATAGATACTCCTCTGAAGTGTTTTAAGACAGCGGTTCCCAACCTTTTCTATCACTGACTAATCTGACGACCCAGACATATTTAATTGATATTTCCTATTATATTGAATAACTGTGAATATTGATCAGAGATGAGTTTTCCTGATATTTTTATACAATTATCTGTCCGTATTATGTATTTTTAAACATTTTTAGCAATCAAATATACAGTAAATACAACTTCAAAGTTTATAAATGTACTTTAATCGACCTACTGTGGATATTTTGAAGCTTTGGCGACCCCTAGTGGTTGGGAAAAACTGCTTTAAGATATTACAGCAACTAAATATTTAAACACGAGAATCTGCTGCGCCGGCTGAAAATCATGTTTTCAAGAATGAATAAAAAAAGAAATTTTCTGACCATCTGCTTGTTGAAGTTGGACACCATCTCCTCAAAGGCCACATCTCGGGTCTCGTCTGCTTTGCCGAGCTTCTGCAAGACCTGCAGAGGAGACAAGAGTCACATTAATCAGAAATTAATCAAATCAATATATCAGTTTCTCTCTCTCTCTGTGTGTGTGTGTGTGTGTGTGTGTGTGTGTGTGTGTGTGTGTGTGTGCCTGATTTCATTCATGGTGCTTAACTGTACTCTGATCTATAAGTGGAGGCATGTTTCTGTCTATTTTCAGACTGCCTGTCAAAGCCGTGAGTCTCCCCAAAGTCTGCGGTTCACACCAGCTGTGTGTGTGTGTGTGTGTGTGTGTGTGTGTGTGTGTGTGTGTGTGTGTGTGTGAATTCAGACTGGATGAACACTGGTATCAGATCCAGTTTTAAGGCATTATGTTGAGTTCACAATCAGCCGAAGAAGAAGAAGCGAGAAACGTCCAGCTCCTGTCTCGTCTTTGCCACTGACAGACTGGATGTGGAGGTCAAAGGTCAAAGCCTCAGTGACCTGATGATGCATGGGAAGTGGTCTTGAATGACGAGAGGAATATTTTGAGTTATGCATTTGGTATTTTTGTGACAGAGAACCATAACGGATAAATAATTTTTTACTGAAATAATATGAAATGTTTTTATGTTTCAGGAGAATGATGTCGTCGGTTTATTGATTCTGTTCGTACCTCTTCTGTGATTGGTTGGTACGGTAACCTGAACATTAAGGATCAACCACATTGTAAAGGTTGCTGGGACGGTGATATGTGTCCCAGACAGACAGACTGAGGATCTCCACAAGACCAGGTCCATACTGGACTGTACAAGCCACCAGCAGGTTGAACCTCCTCCCTCAGGCTGTAGAACAGGACTAAACACTCATTTGTTCCTTGTGCAATAACCCTGCTTAATGTTTAACATGTTATCTGCATGTATTTGTTCCTTTCTAGCATCGTGCACATGAGTTTGTTTGCATTGTTGTTGTATTATTGTTTGCTGTATATTGCAGGAACAGGAATCAGTTTTATGTTTGTGCCCCGACTGCAAATGTGTAAATATTGTATGTAAAACTTATTTTCTTTTATTATATTTTTATTTATATTAGAATGTTTTAGATCATTTTACACTTTTACAAAATTACATTGATGTTTAAAAAAAACTTCATATTGAGTAGATTTTAAATATTTTTTAATTCTATTTTCAATTCAGTTTCAATTTTGATATGATACATATAATATTTTACCTTTCTCAATCACTGTATCTGTATCTGCTGACTGATCAGACTCAGCTGATCGTATTGATTAGAGAAAGAGTAGGAATCAAGATGTTTGTTTTCTTGTTGTTAGTTGGACAAGGTCACCGGCTAATCTCATCTGACAGAGAGCACACGGGGGAGCCGCCATCGCCGCCACCTGCTGCTTTAATCCTGTGACAGACACAAAAACCTCCATCAACACCACGACGGGGACTTCCCCACCGCCGTAACACACACACCTGCTCACACTCGCAGCCAGTTTCTACCAAGCAGAGACTGTTTATAGCTCTCACAGGAAGTTAAAGTCCTCCATTCAACATCCCACTGAAGTAAAAGCAAGTGTTATCAGCTGAATGTAGTAGAAGAACTGGCTCTGCAGTAAATCGCCTCCTGTGACTAATATCTGACTCTAGGAGACATTATTACAATGTTAGAGCAGCTTGAACCAGCATTTCCAGGGTCATAAATCTGAGGGGTCGGAGATTATTAAGAAAAATAAAAATTTCAATAATCAAAAATTAAACCCCTAAAATAAAAAGTCTGAATTTTAAGAAATTATAGGTTTATTATTTAATTGTGTACACCTCCTTAAGAATGGAGCCTGCATCACACCTGAAGAACTTAAAGAACAACTTTAATTTTAAAAATAAAAACAATGACTGTCCAGCTTATAAATGGTAGTTTGTGGTATTACAACAACACGTCTTAATAAAAGAAGTTAGTTCACATAACTTCAACTTGTTGAAGCAACTCAGTTGTTTTCAGTGAACTTGTGTGTTCACGTGTGTGCAGTATTTTCTTGAAGTTGACTTTATATCATTATAACAGTGTAAGCATTATAATGCTGTATAGCTTATATAATATAGTTTTTACTTCAGTTTAGTCATCATCATTAGTCCAATTATGCATCCAAATAATTCTTAATGATCCCCCAAAGTGTAAAGATTTGATGTTAGGTAAAAATAAATTGGCTACCATAATAATCAATTGCTTATAAATTGTTTATTGTTTGTTTTGACAAGTAATGTAATAATTTGCTTTAGTGGAAGAAAACCGAGTGAATTCAACTTGGTGGTAACATTTGTATAAAGAAGATGCATTTAAGCGGGTTGTCAATAAATATGCCTGTTAAGTATGTATGATTGTTAATATATAATACAGACAGAGGATTGTATAAAAATATTCATATATATTACATATATATATATATAATCAATATTCACAGGAAATAATCCAAATAGTTTGTTTTACACAAACTTCCTGCAGTTATTGTGTTCACTGTTTGCATTCATACAGTTTATCAGCTGTTCTCTGCTGTTATTGTTACAAATTAAATATAAAATGAAATATCCATAAAATATAGTCAGTTTAATCAACGATAGAAAAGGGTCCCTTAAGGAAAAAGGTTGGGAACCACTGGACTACTACTGCCTGTGTATCAGAGTGAAAGTATATTTATATTTAGGGAATTAACAGACACATTTAATGAGCCCTGTCTATTAAAATCCAGATCTATATTTGGACGACACAACTGGTGTATTACAGCCCTCATTGTCCGTCAGCTCACTGTGTACCAAATGTCTCCTGGTGCATTCAGGTGATTCCTGTCAAGTCTGGAAAGATCATGTGACCCTGCTGCAGTCACCTGACCTGCGTATTCAAGGAAAACATCACTTATACTGTAAACCCGGGTATAACTTAACATACGCTTGGTGTGTGTGTGTGTGTGTGTGTGTGTGTGTGTGTGTGTGTGTGTGTGTGTGTGTGTTACTGCCGCCCGTCGGTGTTCAGTTTCAACCCCCAGAAATACACCCGGAGCACACACACAGAGGCAGTTTGTGGGGTATTAAGAGTGATGAGGAGGAGGTCCAGGAGGGCTATAGATAGATATACACACACACACGCACACACACACACACACACACACACACACACGTATATATATCTGAGCCCCACCCACAGCAGTAAAGCATGCTGGGAGTCCTGGGAGGGACAGGTGCGGAGGTTTGATAACTTTGGATTCAAATTACAATTCGTAGAGAGAGTTATAAAAATACAGCGGTACTAAAGTACTTCAGGTACAAATTAAAAGTACTTGAGTATTTTCTTTTAATGCCACTACTCCACTCAGAGGTAAATACTGTACTCCACTACATGTGTCTAACAGCTTTTGTTACTACAAAATAAGAGTTAATACACTTAAAATGTGCTCTGCTGGTATCATACTTTTAAAAATGCTTCTCTTTCTGTTCTCATATTTGTATAATTTATTATTTTAGGGTTCTTTTTGTGCTTTCTGTCAGTAAGTTCCTCTAATGGCCCCTTGAGGCTGGCTCCAGCAGTGAGTCAATCTCCATAAGGCCCCAGTATTAAAAGGCTAAACTTTACAGCAGAAACAAACATGTTTGCAGCCTGGTACAAAGACAGTTTGGGTCTCTTTAGCTAATTTCCCCGTTCATAACTGTAAACAACTCAGCCCTTTAAATTATATTAAGGCTTACAGTTCTGCATAATTAAGTCTGTTTATGTTCCTGAAAGGTTTGGAGAATCAACGTTTTAACTTCACACCAGAGCTGAAATATCTTACAGCTGCAATAAATCATTCTTAAAGGATCATTTTAAATGCACATATTTTTATTCTGAATTTGAAAAATGTACGATACTGAAAATCAGTTTGCAGAGGCCCAAGTGTTCATTGAGTGGCTTAAGGAAGGTGAGGGAAGGTGGTCGGATGTGTTTTTGGGGGGTTGAAACCTTTGGGTGCTGAGTGGTGGGGGAGCCTCTTTGACTCCCAGCACCACTCCGGGTCTCCGGCTGCTCTCTAAAGGGCACCTCCTCCCTCCTCCCTCCTCCCTCCTCCGTCACCGCACTCATCCGGATTCCACCGAGGGGAATTTTCCCAGCATGCTCTGTGGCACAGCTGACCGGTTCATGAGTGGGTGACATTATATCACTATGACAACTACGGTGGCCCCAGGGGATGCTCGGGATTATTCTGTCAGATGGTCTGAATCAAATTATGATATACAGAGAAATTAAAGACACGATGAAATCAAATATTGCCGCTCTCTTGTGAGTCTGAACATCGTCAGCTTGAATCCTGTTTTTAATTTAAAGGACTTCGTATCAGCTGGACGCATGCTTGCCTTCTGACGTCAACAAACTGTCCTGGTACAAGTAAACTTGAACTTCAGTGTTGGAGTCAAAATATTTTGAGAAAAACGTACGATGTGAGAATTTATTGGTAAAGAAAATGAGATAAAGCCGTTTTACAAGACAAAGTAATACGATGAAAGTAAAATTAAGAAAAAAGAAAAGTCATTTTCCGTCAGTATTTCTGGGTAAAGCCATTTAAAGGTTTTGTTAAAAAGCATAAAGTACGTGAGTGTAGAGTTGGATGAGGTGAGGGGTGGAGGGCGGCGTGCCAGCAGACAGACAGCTGAAGCCGACACTCCCCTCCTCCACACCTCAGCCGGCCTTCAGAGGGAAGATGATACTCTGACCTTCCTCTTTACTCCCGGCACTCCGGCTCAGAGAGCTCAGTATCACCTCAGAGCCTCACACCGGCTTCCAAATGCTGCTTTTCTGTTGCATTTGAAGAATTCAGTTTGTACTTTTCTACATCCGGCAGGTTGATTTCCTCAAGAGAAACAAACCCACCAAAGAGAAGAAACCTCAAATTCCTGGATTTGAATGCTTTCAGATACATTTCAGTGCGGTTTAATGTGCGTTGCAGCCAAGATTTTAGAAATATTACGGTCATGAGTCCATGTTCCACACCCAGCTTAGAAATGTTTGACCATCTATCCAACAGTCAAATTGGATCCATATAAAACAATAGATGACCTATTGACCTCATTACATTACAGTTCTGCTTTCAGTGCCTTTAAAATAAAAACTAAAATCATCACAGAGCTGAAAGGAAGCATTTCTCAGGCTTTTTTAATAACTGAGTAGCGCTTCTATAACATAGACAAGTTCTTCTTTCATGATTTGTTTCTGTTTTTATTATTTTCTGGATAAAAAACACATTATTGTGTATTTATAAATAACATTTCGCAGCTCAAATTCCCTACATTATTGATTATTTTATAAATATGTGTTATTGATGGGACAGAAAAGCAGGACGAAGGTTATCTATTGAATACCATTATGGGTATTGATGAGGAATATCTTAATAATAAAGTGTGCTGATAATATCAGAATTAACCAAAAGATGATAAATAAAGTACTGAAAAAGATGTTGTATGTAATATATATAGGAAGTGAAAGACTTTAAGTGAGATAAAAACAGATAATGAGTTTGTAAATATAGTATAGTATTTCTCTCCCATGTAGGTTTTAGTCATGGGAGAGAAATAAAAACTAAAGTTCAAATGGTGTCTGAGCAGTTAAGATGACTCGAGAGTAACCTGCTCATAAATAAACTCTCACATTAGGACAGAAGGAACGTGGCACAGGGATGCTATTTCATTCAGCAGCTGCTATTTAAAGTTCATTCAAGAGCTGCTGAGATGATCGATAGCACTCGAAACAGCAGCAGGAAGACACTTCAACGACGTGGAAGCCCTTTAAACTTTAGATTTTAAAAGGTGGAGTCAGGCAAGGTTAGCTTAGCTTAGCACAAAGACTGTAAGCAGGGGGAAACAGCTAGCCTGGCTCCGTCCCGTTTCCTGTCTTTATGCTAAAATGGGTCGCACTAGAGCACCAACATTTCAGACCAAAACAATGAACGCTACGGCCCACCAGACTCCACTCACAAAACCAGTCACTTCAAAACCATCTTTGGCAGTCTTTCCAACAATCACTAGCAGAGTTAGATTAAAACAATAGCTGCACAGACCGCCATGTAACGTTATAATCATTGTCACTGTGGTAAAATAAACCCGTTAAAATCCGTCCACTGACAGTAGTTGTTGTTTGTTCCACTAACAGTAGTTGTTGTTTGTTCCACTAACAGTAGTTGTTGTTTGTTCCACTAACAGTAGTTGTTGTTGTTTGTTCCACTAACAGTAGTTGTTGTTTGTTCTACTAACAGTAGTTGTTGTTTGTTCACAGTAGTTGTTGTTTGTTCCACTAACAGTGTTGTTTGTTCCACTAACAGTAGTTGTTGTTGTTTGTTCCACTGACAGTAGTTGTTGTTTATTCCACTAACAGTAGTTGTTGTTTGTTCCACTAACAGTAGTTGTTGTTGTTTGTTCCACTAACAGTAGTTGTTGTTTGTTCCACTAACAGTAGTTGTTGTTTGTTCCACTGACAGTAGTTGTTGTTTGTTCCACTGACAGTAGTTGTTGTTTGTTCCACTAACAGTAGTTGTTGTTTGTTCCACTAACAGTAGTAGTTTCTGCCACTGACAGACTCAGGTTGTTATTGTCAGTGTCTGACAGCATTATGGAAAGGATCCCTACAGAGATAGACCTTTAGTTTAACCACAAACAGCCGTAATATCACTATCACTCTCCACCAGACTCCAGAGACACAAACACTCATTTTACCTTCAGATCATCAGAACTTCATTAAAGTGAACAGAAACAGAATAAAACTCATCAAAAGCGTCTCTGTTAGTGTTTCCAACAATCACCAACTCTGGTTTGGTGGAAATAAATCCTTAATTCACCGACACAAAACCAGATTCATCATGTTCATCATGGCAGAGCCAGGCTAGCTGTTTCCCCCTGCTTCCAGTCTTTATGCTAAGCTAAGCTAATCACCTCCTGTCTCTAGTTCTCTGTTCTTCTGACTTTTGCAGAAGGAGACTGGATCTGAAGCGCAGGAGGTTTTGAAATATGTGCAGCTGCCACGAGGAATGAGCAGATACTCATCAGAGGAGTGTTGAGGAAGGAGAGGTTAAAGTTACCAGCGTCCATCAAAGTCTTTTTTAGGGGTTTAACTGGAAACACATGCAGCACAAAGACCGACTACAGGAAGCATAAAGACCAACTGAGAACAATGAGTGGTTTAAATATGAAATCTGTCTCACTGACTGCGCTTCCTGGTGTGGTAGTGAGGTGATTAGAGGGTAAAACCTCAGCAGGCTTAAGCAACAAGCGTGATTAGGACCGACAATAATAACTCAGAGACAGAGAGCTCAACACAGACTGTTGATCAGGTTTCTATCTGTCACTTTTGCAGCTCCTCCGACAGTCGACTGTCATTTTCACTCTGGAGCTGAGTTTGCAAATAAAACAGCCGATGTCAGGTAACAAAATCTTGTATTTCATCTTATTGACACATGTTGTCTTCATCCGATCTAAAAGCATAAAACAGCAACGTTTCCTTTTAATTTAGATATGTGGGTACTTTTTACGACAAGTTCATATTTGCTTTAACTTTTTTAAAACTTGAATATATGTATTTTTATTGATTTGAGGGCTTCTTCTTATTATTATTATTTTACTGTTGTAGCAGCATTAGAAGTAGGAGTAAACTACTCTTCTGCACTTCTTCTGACTTTTACTTTGAAAACCTAGTCGTACAAAAAGCAGTAAAGCAGGACAGTGAATGCATCATCATAACTGATTTTAATACTACAACATCCTTCAAGAAACATGATTGATTGTTTCCTTCTAGTGGAAAGTCTCAGCTAACAGCCAAGGACACTTTAGAAGTGATCAAACTTCACTGTGTGGATTAAAGGAAAACCCCTTAAATATACCAAATAGTGTTGAAGCCATTCCTGCTTTTTTATTCCCGCTTCCTGCCTTTTTAAATGCTTGGATTTTTATTAGTTCAAAGTCATTTGGTACATTTTATGGTTTGCATTTCATGTCACACTTTAAAAACTCCTTGAACTGTGCAGAGAACTCATTAAAAGCACCTTAATTGTTATTAAAGGGTCATTTGAAGGGGTTTTAAGGTCAAACTTAAGGACCTTTAGTGACAGTCCGCTCATGACTTTTCTTTTAAAATGATCATTAACATAACAACCTTAATTCAAAGTGCAAATTCAGGGTGCTTTTATTTTTGCAATGTTACAGGGTTGAATCAGGTTTTCAGGTTTGACTTCACTTCCTAAAACTGTGCAGAATACTTATTAATGTACGTAAATCCAATTGATTGAGAATCTGTAGTTCTTTTAGAGTAAAAGTTGATAGATTTCACCCCTTAAACAGTGCAGGGACCCAATAAAACTACCTTCATATGTTGCATTCAGGTGCATATTGTTGTCAGATGTAGATTCAGTGGCGGTTTTGTTAAATGTCACAGCCACATTTTCAGGTATTCATTTAACCCTTGAAAAACCCTTAAACCCACCCTGATATGTAACAATCCGCTGATTAAGACATGAAATAGTCCCTGATGAAGTCATTACTGGTGCGTGAATGAGTCGCAATTGAAGGTAAAAAGTTTGCGGGGTTGGGTTTCACGGGGGCCGGGAGGACACTGTGTCCCGCTGCCGATCAGCTCAGAGTTTTACCTTCTCCTGCGCTCTGGTGAGCCTCTTCTGGACGTTGATGGCCAGTTTCCCGGCGGTGACCCCTTTCCCTGTCTCGGCCATGTCCTCGCGGCGTGGAGGTGCTCCCCGGCGGTGTCCGGACCAGAGAAGAAGAAGGAGAAGACAAGAGGGAGAAATGTCGCTGAAGGAGACCCTTCCCTGGAAACCGACGGTGCGTAAAACCTCTCCGGGTCGCTGCGCGTAACTCTAATCCCGGTGACAGCTTCTTAAAGGTGCAATGCGTAATTTAATCCGGTTTATGCGTAAAAACATGAACAAAAAGCAGGTGGAGGTTTGGAGACAGAGCACAGGGACAGATTCACATATCGTCTCGGCTCTCACTGTTAATTGATGAAGACTTGAGCTCGATATGGAGAGATATTAGGTTTCCTTCTCAGTCATCCTCTTAAAGGCGCAGCAGGTTGTTATTATTAGCCGACATCTGTTGCATGCATGCAACTGGTGTGTTGCTGTCGTTACGCACGGCCTTATTTAAGCGCACGGAGCGGTTTCAGTCAGATGTGGGGGGCTAAATCAGTCCTGATCCCCCCCCGGAAGATAAACACAGACGGACAGACGGACGGACAGAGGAAGCCGGTAGAGGTCAGTAAAGGTGCGTTCACGTGTCAACAGGTCACTGTAGATGTTGAGGTATAAAAGAGACAACACACAGCTCATTTCCATATAATTTAATTTCAAAAATAAATCTTTTTTTAATATCTCTTCACCCATAATAACTCCATAAACATTATTGGATTTCTGTAAACAAATAACACTTAAATACACTCATTTATATATCATTTATTCTAATGTTACATACAAACATCACTGTGGACTATGAAACTAAATCCTTCAAAATTTTACCTCGAAATCAAACTAATTACCCCAGAGTTTGAACAGAATAATAGATGGATTAGATATAATAGATTTCCCCTTAATTTACACATTACATATTTGACAAATCAATGAATTAACCTTTTAAGGTGTTATTAAGGCAAAAGGGATTTTTACTCAGTATTAGATCCCATATTAAATTAATGGATTGCTTTATATTAAGGGATTTTAATGGGTTTTCTGCACAGATTAAGGGTTTTTTGAGGGGTTAAAACCCTAAATGTATCTTTATTTTTCTATTAAGAATAAAACCTACAAATGGCTCTCGTGCTATGTGCTCTAACACTTATAAAGATGCAATTATGGAGATAATTAATATTATAAAGGTATTTTTAAGCATGGTTTAAGAGGCAAAATAAAAACTAAAATTGACTTAATAACATGAAACCATCCATTGATTTATAACTTAAATGTGCCTTTTCATGCCATGTGTACCTGTTTTTCCCCCACTTGAATCCATTAAGAAAAGCCATTAAATCACTTCAATCCCAACCTTAAGAACACCTTAAGATGATAACTAATGTGTAAATTAATGGGAAAATGTACCCCTTGATTCTTTTTTAGGGTGTTTCCTGTGAGTGTTTGCTGTGTTTTCCAGGTAAGATTAAGGATTTATTAAAGGTATTTTAAGGGATTATTGTTTCATAGAGTTTTAAGGATACAACCAAAAGTCTTTGAAACGTCAGCTGTTCTCTGAGTCGTTTGACTCTTATATTTGCTGTCTGTGTTTGTGGTTTTGGGAGAATTTGTCTGTGTCAGTTCACAGCTTCTTCTTCTTCCTCCCATCATGCCTCAGCAGGAGCCCATCTCGTCAGGCAGTCGGTTGCGGTCCTGCAAGCTCTCCGGGCTTGTATTTGGGTATTTCAGGATTGTTTTTTGATATAAGTGTCCACCAGTGTTCTTCCTTCCTCACCTGTCGTCCTGAGCCACGCCCAGCGGGTGGAAGCGTCCAGAGTCCAGCAGCATCCTCCCCAGCCAGTGTAAGAGCCGTGAGTACCAGTGGATCCCGTCACTGTGGCTCCCAGCGGAGCCGGTCCAGCTGTGAACCAGCCGGAGCGGCGAGAAGGCCCAGTGAGCCAGGGAGTGCTGCTCCACCACCGCGTAGCAGGACGCCACCACCCCATCCACCACCACCGTCCCCTGCTGGGTCAGTGGCGCAAACGCCCCCCTGCTCTCCCTCACACTGACCCGGGTGATCCGAGACAGACGCCCCTCGCTGTGCTTCTGTCCCGCTTCACCCTCCGACACCAGCACGCACTGTCCCGGCTGGGCCTCGCTGGCGTACACAGTCCTGAGGGCACCATGGGCTGGCACCGCCCCCTCTGAGCAATTCCCCTCAGACACAAAGACCAGGTGGGCGGCGGTGAGCGAAAGGCGGGCCCCAGCTTCTGTCTGCAGGGTGTAGAAGAGCTTCCAGGCCGCAGGGTCACGGTCCAGGAAGACCAGGACTTCGCTGTAGACCAGTTCCCCGCTGCCGTCGGTGCCCGCCGAGGCCAGGACTCGCTCACCAGGTTGCAGGTCACTGATGGACTTCTGACCACCGCCCTCCAACCTGACCGAGGCCTCGCCGGGAAAACAACCTCCAGATTTAGCCGCCACTGAGTGGTCTGAAAGACAGACAGACAGACAGACAGACAGACAGACAACAGGATGTGATTATTCCTGAAATACGGAAGCTCATTCCTGCTACTTCCTTCATGCTCAAAAGAAGAAAAAAAAATAAAGTTGAACTAAAAACTATGAGACAAATGTCATAATGTTGAGGTATTAAGTCAGAATTCTAACAGAAAGTATAATTTATTATCATTTATTAACATTAAAATTAGTGCATCTATTTTTGTTATGGTGAAGGGAGAACATTCAAACATTTATTTTCGTGGCAGGATCGAGCTTCCATACAAAAGAGCTTGAGCGCACAATAAATCTCTTCAACTCCCTTTAGCTAAATATTGACTTTTTTCCTACCTACACTGAAAATAAAAGAAAAATAACTAGATAAAAGCTCCTGTTTGCAGCCTTGAATATTGTGTGTGTGTGTGTGTGTGTGTGTGTGTGTGTGTCCAGGGATTGTGTTCGAGACAATGCGGATAAATATTTGGGGAAGGTAGGAAAGCCAAGGCCAGGTGATAAGATAAGTCACCTGAAGGAGGAAGGAGCAGAGCAGGAAAATGAGCCAGCGGGTTAATCATCTGACAAACTCCAGTAAACGTCTCCTCCAGTTCACTGTGATGACCTTAATTGTTTTATTATGTTATGAATTATTTTTATTTATTTATTTTTCACATATATTTAAATATGTTAGATGTTTTAAATAAGTAAGATTACATTTATTTTTCGAGTAATAATGACTATTTTGACTTAAAAAGACATAATTGACACGTGAGTAATAATATGGTATAATTAAATTAATCGAGTTATGTTTTTAATTTTAGGCGTAGATTCGTGCACGACATTATCATAAACAACGTTATCTTTGACGCCTCTTATGTTAAAATGAGAAAGTGGGAAGTTTCGCTTTTCTGGGCTCGAGGAACGAATAGAACAACCTGCATAGATCCAAACTTTGTCATAACTGATCTTGTTTGTTTTATAGTGGTGGTCTATCAGGAAAATACTCGCTGCAATACAGCGAGTGACCACCGGGAAATATTGGAAGCAGATATAATAAATACCAACAGCAAAGTTCCTCGACTCTCAACATTTTATAAAGCAGCTCATTTAAAAAAACAAACAGAAGAAATTAATGCGAACTTGTTCACTATAATCTGTGTGAACTGAACTTCGTCAGCTCTGGTGAAGTGTGAACACTGGCGGGCAAACAAACAAAGGCAGGGAAGAAGAAGACTGCTAACAAGGATGTAAACAATGCACAGGGTTTTAAATATTCATAAAATTATGTTATTTAATGCAAAAATAAATGAATTCAAAAACATGCGTTGTTAATTTAAGACAAATTAGTACTTTGCGATTAACAAAAATGTTCAACTTTCAGGTTTTCAAGGCTTTGTGATACCAAACTGAAACTTTTCTGTCATAATACGATGTCAAGTTAGATGGTTAAAAGGTTAAAAATAAATAAATAAAAATAGTTGATAGACCGCTCTTCATTATCAAACAAAAAGCACCAGAAATAGTTTGATCTTTAAATAAAAAGTGACTTCTCTCTAATGGTGGAGGTAGAAAACTTGAAATATTACCTTCCTAACTCTCTTCCTGGTTTGACCCCAGAATATGTCTCATGTTGTCGATGTAAAGCAGCAGAAGTTTGAGGTGCAATGTGTTAACTTGCTCCATTAATCCCCGTTATCGCCCCAGTCTTCATCTACAGGATGCTTTGCTGCCCCCCTAGTGGTTGTGTCCTCTTGCTAAGTGTCTCTAAGGAGGAGTTTGTTGGTGGAGAGCTCATCAGTTACAACTTTTCCTCAGCTGGCTTGATTTTCTTCTCAACCACTGATTTCTTTTCTTTGAGGAACTTTGAGGAAAAATGTGAGAGGAGAAGAAAAAATAAAAAATCAAAAACATGAAAAAAATACCAACTTGATTGGTTGCCCTTCTGATCAAGTCAAGGACTGGGCCCTCGCAACCCGATCTGGGAGGGAAGGAGAGAGGAGGAGAGGGAAAAAGAAAGGGAAAAGAGACAGAAAGTAGGAAAAAGGAGAAAGAAAGAGGGGAAAAAGAAAAGGGAAATCTCTGTTACCACTCAGTGTAAAATGTGTCGGAGGGTGTTGATGCATTTTCATCAGAGTGTGTGACTTTCGGCACATCTGTGTGTCCACTTTTGGACGTCACGTGTGTGTTACTTTTCATACAAGCTGCACATTTGTGGCGATGAACAGACAGTATGTTGAATATGTTGAACCTTAATGTGAAGAGTCTGCAGACCTCAGCAGCTGATTTCCACTCAGTGTTAACATGCAATCGGTGTCCCCTAATCTCTGCTAGGTAAGAGGAAGTGTAAATGCAGTCTGCACCACAACATGTTGAAGTCTCCTAACTCCGCCTCTTCCTGCTAACTCAAACTGCTCAACTGTACATTTATGTTGTGACTACTACCTTGGTTGACATTTCAGTACCGCAGATGGCTTTAAATACTACCGGTTCTTTTTATCAAGAAAACCAAGAAAAACCATCTGAGTTTCCTCATTCTCAAAATCAGAATTTCTACATATTGCTTAGTAGTTTTTGTGGCAATACAAGTTTAGTTCCACGAAAATCTTCTGAAATCAGCCGGTACGTGGCTGTGTGAAGTACCGATGAGCCTGCTTCAGGGCGAGGAAAGCAAAAAAGCTGCAAACAGCTCACAGAAGCAAAAACGTAGACATGACGTAGAACTCGGTCTAACCTGAGGAAACACTGGGGTGAGTGGCAGATGAGACAGATAAAGAAAAAGGGGGAAAATGTAAGAGCTGGCACATTTATAAGATGCAAGGAAGAAGAGAGTTAGCGAACAGGAGTGAAACAAAAAAAGGAAGGAAAAGGCGGCAGCAGCAGTTTCTGAACCTGAAATATAAACACTAAATGGACTACATTAATTCAGAGATTGTCTGACTGATGAAGGTTTTGGAGTTTCTGAGCAGCAAAATTCTGCTAAGTTTAGTGTTGCTTGTCGTGCTTTTTCTAAGCTGTTGCTGACATGCAACCTGGTCCCACTCAAACACTCCTGCTTCAGTCAGTCAGTGGCCCTCTGCATTAAAAAGATCACGCTGTCAGTGTCCCTATAGCGCCACTAAAGTCAGGTGACTTAAAGAGCGAGAAAATCCACATCTGGAGATGATTTTTTTTTAATCCCGCTGCCGCCTGCTGCTGGTAGATTTCAGATTTCTGTTTGTGTCCCGTGTGAAACTACAAGTAAACGTTGTCATTGAGGTACGTTATGTAAGCTACGATCTAAACAAACTGTTTATCCACGCAAGTTTTATTTTGAAAGTGTAACCAAATGTTGCATATTTATAATTATCGTCATTAACTTGGCCAGAAGTTTCAGATGTTATTTATTGTTCTAACTCAACATACAGCGTCATATTTTGAAGCCGCTGACCAAGCAGCAGTTATTTGACGAGTCAGGGTTTCCGTATGAAACATGCTACGGTGAGCTACAAGGGGGAACTGGATGGGTTCGTAGGTTGCTGTTTAAAGCAGCAAAGCTTTAAACAATTCATATTAGAATTGAAAGCTGAGTAGGAGGGAGAAGGTGTCAGAGTGCGAGGCCGTCGGAGTTCAGTCGCAGTACTCACTGAACTTAACTTAATATTGGTTAATTATCATAATGCTCCACTAACATGTAATTCGTACTTTAGCTGCATTGATTTTGTGAGAAAGCTTTGCAGATAAATATGAACATGTTAAAACCTTTCAGATACATTCTTTAAAAACAGATCCAGCTTCTTTTGAAGATTAAAATGTAATAAAACGTTAAAGATCTCAGTGTGCCTCAAACCCAGAGCTCGTTGGATCAGCATCTTTAAGTGTGTCCATTTGGAACAGATTTAAACACCTTTAGACATCGTCTGTCTTACATGAACTAGCTCCATATGAAGCATACTGAGGCCTTTAGGGTCAGGGTTAGGCACCCTCACCAGTAGACCAGGGTGTCTACAGGCTCTCTACCCCTTTCCCTTCATAAAAATTGGATTTAGCGAAGTTCAGCCTCTGTCCTCCCTCACCTGACTTGACGCTGCAGTGGATGTGGGCTTTGGACTCGTAGTAGACCCAGTCAAACCCGGCCTCCACCGCCAGTCGAGCCAGCATGGCGTACTTGTTCCTGTCTCGGTCCGACGTGGTGATGTCCACCGCCCGGCCCTCATAGTGCAGCGACTCCTCCGAGTGGTGGCCGTCCTCGTCCCAGCCCTCAGTGACTCGCAGCCGGACCCCGGGCCACAGGTTCATCACCGAGATGGCCAGAGAGTTCAGCTTGTCTTTGCAGCGCTGCAGCAAAAGAGACACAGCTGTCGTAGGTCCACAGAAATATTACTGTATGTGAACAAGTCTATCTTTTGCACATACATTAACAAATACCGCAGTAAGTAAACAGACCACTACTATATAATATATAATATATGTAACAGTAAGATTTCCCTTCGATGGAACTAGGGGCTGAGAACAAACCAGGAAAAACAAACCAAAACTAGTCCACATACTTTTGGCCATATAGAATATATATAAATATGTGAACATATATTTAAACTATATATGTTCACATGTGGCCATAAACTGGGAGAAAAATCTACTTCCGAGTGATTACATTTTTTGTAGGATTTTGGCTCTTTGTAAAATAAAGGTGGGTTTCCATGGAGACGTTCACCTGCTGATCAGCAAAAAGATAATCAAAGAAAATCCTCCGTCTTCATTTGTAGGTTGGAAATGTTTGAATAGAATATTTATTGAAGATTTTCCCAGAGGGCTTTTATTCTGAAAAACTTGTCTTCCTCACTTTAGGCGGTTTTAAGTGAAAGGTTTTATTTCCCTGATTCATTAGCGAGTATGTGAAACTTTTAATTTTAGCACTTTGCACTCAGATTTGTTTTGTGGGATGTTTTATTCACTTTTAACGCTGTATTGAATGAAAGTATCTGAACTGTAATGACACTGTGGAATAAACATTTTTTCATGTTATCTGAGATTTTATGCTTGTTTTTAACTTTATGTATTTTTTATAGTTTATGGTTTGATTTATTGCCTGTTGACCCTTCAGTCACGTTATTCTCCTGTATGATCACAGACTGCAGACCTGACCTTTAGCAGCAATAAAAGTCTGAACTCACCGAATCCCCGTCACACCCCGTCACCCCTCTCCCGCTTGTCTGTGCCCGCAGCCTTCCCACAATGCACCCCTGCTGTCCCAGCTCGGTCTGATGTTTGCTCTCTGTGGTGAGCTATGTTAAGGATGGATGGAGGGGTGAAGGAGGGGACTGTGAGGTTATAGGGTGGTTGGGTGATGCTGGGGGGGGGGATAGGGGTCCCGCTAAACCTGGAGTCTGGTCAGGGTGAGCAAACAGAAGGTGAGAGGACCTATGGAAGGACTCATTCAACTCCCTCCTCCGGTGCTTTTATTTTGGAAAACTTGCAGTAACGCCTCTCCCTGAACTTTGTTCATGTGGTTTTAACTGAGAGGTTTTCTATTTTTCTGATTTATTAGCGATTTATCTAACATAAAATATTTCAGGTGACATGTCAGATACAACTGGTCTGATTTTCACAATAAAGATTTCACATTTTCCAAATAAAATGGGGAGCAGATTGGACTGAGGAGTTAACATTTCACAGTCTGTTAATCGTTCTGTCATGTAACTGAACTGAAGTTTAGAAATGCTGGAATCAGCTTTTCTTTTCAAAAAATCTTGATATATTATCTCAACCAGCCCTCATCTGAATACATTCACAGTTTTCCCATTAATACTTCAACCTACAGTTTGAGGGTTGATGGGTCCAATTCCACTGACATCATTTTAAGTCTGAATGGAAGCAGTTGAAGCAGTTTCTTTGAGCAGTAAATAAAGATACATGTCAATTTCAGAATTGTTTTTACTGACTGACAACAATTTGTGTATCTGTGAACCCTTCCAGGGTTGACTACATTTTTATGTCCATTATCTGCCTCTGTTTTTCATGGATGTGGCTTGGTGGCTATAAAGGAGGCTTTCTCATTTCAAAACACCGACCCCCTAACCAGCAGAAATATTAATTACATTTCTGCACAAATTGGGTTTCCAGTGGAGATTCAGATTGGCCTGAAGGCTCAGATCGGCTTCAAGAGGGAACCATTTTCAACATATTTCTTCATATTTCCAACCAGCCATAGTCAGATTTGAACAAACATCAGGTGATAATTTGCATAAAATGACGCAGATTTGGCTGCAGAACGAGCTGTTTCACATTATAACTCAAACTGGTCCAATTCTGGATCAATTTAACAACACAATGAGTCCTGAAATGAAGGAATCAGCCAACCAAACAGGACCTGCCTGAATACATCTCAGCCACTACTTGTTGGATTTGGTTGGATGAGGCATTGAATAATGCCACAGACTCACCTGTTGAGGGCGCTATCCTTAAACGCTCATTCTGATTGTTAAAGTATGAATCTCAAAACACCCTTTGCTAAGATTTTGACTAGAGTTAAAACAAATTAATAGGAACTTGTTGAATGATGCTATTTTATTTGTCTGATTTGGTCATTTTTAAACTTTAACGCAACATATCTCGTTGATTTTGATGAAAGTTGTAAGACTGGTACATTGTGGCACTTTTATGTCATTTGTTGTTTGTAAAATGATGATTTAAACTGTTTAAGGGTCACAAATGATTACTTCAGGTAAAATCCTGAGAAATTACATTTTTCCGGTTAATGAAGTTTATGTATTTCACTTGACAGTATTTTAATTAAATTCTTATTAAATCATGGTTTGCATGAGGGGCTTCTTGTCATTTTCCAGCAGCCTCTGAATGCGTCTCTCAGTGATGCTTTCACGAACCTCAGCCTATAAAGAGTGAAAAAGTGGGATTAAACGCTCTAAATGTCTTTTTCCATGTTGGCTGTGATAAGAATAGCTCGCAGCTCGGTGGCCACAGATGCCTTTTCACAGTGTTCACTGTGGATTTTAACGTCTTATGTTTTCTCTCCGCGGTCAGAGCAACGAGCTGGACTTCATAAATCAGACGATAGATTTTGTTGGTTTTCCTTTCAAGGTATACAGATCGACGGGGGTTTCTGTAGGAGCGGTTTAAGCACTAAACCGCTGGCTGCACAAACATTGGACGCGCAGGCTGACAACATGCGCCTATATGCACACCTTAGTGCTGCAAAAAGTGCCCTTCTGAACAGGTCAGTTAGTCTGCTGTGGCGTCTGAAAGACTGGTTTTCTTGGGATGATGGGACAAAATCTGCAAAAACCAAACGCGTATTCTCTTGATTCCAATGCAATGCGATTGGTTTGATGGTCTTTTTTAGTCAAATGCCATAGTTTGCTGAATATGGGGCTATCTGCCTTGTTTGGAGCCGTTTTTCTGCAAGAAATCCGTGAAATTAAAGAACATTCATTGTAAATAAGTGAAATAATCTTGCACTTTTTTTTTAACATGCACTTTGAAAAGAAATCTCAACTCATTAAAAAGGCCAAGTTAAATGTGAGGAATGACACTTTTTGCAGTGAGGCTTCGCCCCTGAACAGTCGCGTCTGTATGCAGCACGGAGCGCCCAGGAAAAAGCGAATAAAAAATAAAGAGGCGGAAAAAAAAATCTGTATAATTAAGGCTTCGACACAAGTGAAGTGGGCTATTTCTGCACATGTGCGCTGCGAAAACAAACAAAAAGTAACACGGAATAGTAAAAGACAAACAGGGGGCTGTCTCCTGCGGCTTGGAGCCCATAAATTGTGTGCAGGTCAGCGCCGTCGACGCGCTGCGGCTCGAGGTGCGCGCTGCAAAAAATGTCCATGCTTGGACACATTTCACCTAAAAAGTTGTGTGAACTTTTTATTTCATTAACAAGGTTTAATTAACCCTTTCTTACAGTTGCACCTTTTTGAGTAATTTTCTAAGAAACATGAGAAAAAGCAGATAAAAAAACAAATGGAATCAGTTGATTCTGGAAATTAAAACTCTTGAATCTTTTTACACTAAAGTAAACACATCCCTATTTACGCATCTTGCATTTAAGGACTTTCTCTTGTACATTTGAACACTCAAACCCAGCTAAAATGACTCGCTCCTGCGGGTATTTCTTGCAGTGCGCACGGCGGAGGTGACAGCTCCAGACGGGAGTGCGCGCCTTCATTCCCCACGTGGGTCTGTGGACATAAGCGCTGCCGCTCTCAGAGGAAGCCCGCGGTCACAAGAGCCAGATATAAATACTTTATTCCTGGGGAAATTGGGAGTCAAATAAATTCCACCCGGGGCCACATCAATGACGGTGTCGTAAAAATTTTTGACAGTCCAAAAGGCGACTGTTAAGTCTGGCCAGTCGGGCTAAAAACGAAAACGGTAAACATCAGTACACGCTTGACCCGGGCTCTAACCAAATACGACTTTTGGCTGTTTTTCCACCAAAAAACATGATGTAAAACAGAGGACATAGTGTTTTAATTAAGAGCGACCGCGTTTCCATACATTTTTAGACGGGGTTGCCCTCTTTTTACGCATGAGCTGCCCACACTGAACCTCTGAAAGTTCATGTGGAGCTCTGATTCAAACTGGTCCCCTACACAATCCAGAAACAAACCCAACTGTGTCAACAGCTGCAGGGATTTCAGAATTGACTGAAGAATGAGTTGTGCAAACAGACAGATTTCGTAATCAGATTCCGAAAGAGGCAGAACAGCAAGAAAAATCCAGCTTCAAAACATTTTCATGCGAGAAAAAGCGTTAAAATTGTAGTTTTATTTCAAAGTTAAAATGTTCCACTGAGGAGGGACATTTAAGACTTACGACACTTGTTCCCTTTAAGTGGCACTAAATCGAAATATATTTGGGTCATTTTGTTCAAATTCTTTAAAAAATGAGTTTAACACAACAGTTTTGTTTAAGACTGTTTTTTCTTTTTGCAGTGACAATCCTTGAGTCAACAAGAAATGCGGAAAAGATAACAGTGTCCACGCGTTGGAAGAATGGGCAAAGTACACTTAGTAATACACCGAAAACCCTCCTTAAGAAGCAGGTTCTACTGCTGAAAAGCCCAGGCTAAAAGGCACTACGGCAGCCGGGAGTGTTACCTGTGTCATCATGCGGTCTGCACCTGTGTTTTCCTCATCCTTGAAGATGATGTCGGGGTTGTAGTTCGGGGTGAGCTCCTTGAAGCGCTCAGAGTTCCGGGTTATTTTTCCTTCGTATCTCCCGCTGGCCCCTAAAGTCTTCTCGGCCACGTTGGGGCTGAACTGCTTGTAGGCGAGCGGCGCCAGCTTCCGCGGTGACCGCCTCTTGCCATGGCCTCTACCCGGTCCGCAACCCTCGCACACCGGCAAGAGGAGAAAGGCGCACCCGGCGAGGCACGTCACCAGCGTCGGGAGCAGCATTCCGCCCCGGGGCCGGTATGTAACCCCCCGGCGGGTGGCCAAACTGTCACCGCTGTATTTCTTTTGATGTGTGTCCCCCCCTCCCCCCTCCCCCGTGTGGGTTCCCCAATATAAATTTAGAGTGGAGGTAACGGAGCAGGACTCACTCCCGGGTCCCCAAAAGTGGCCATTCCCGGTGCGTAAAAGTGGCCAGTGCGCTGGTGGAGACGAGCTGGAACGACCTGAACCTGTCCTCTGAGCTGCCGACACTCTCCTGTCCCGAGTGCACGCGGAGGCAGGGGCATAAATAGGCGAGGTGAGTTTATCTTGGCAGACAGGTTCAAAGCCTCTCTCGGTGTCGAAGCTGTGAGAAAAAGGTCTACAGACAGACACGGAGGCGCGCGCTGCGTAGTCTGTCTGCGCCTGTTGGGCACGGCGGTCAAAGGGTGTCCCCGCAGCGGTTTCTGCCTCTTGGGTTTGTTCTCAATGCGTCCCTGTGGCGCAGGGCTGTTGGCAGAAATGGAAGAGATCCTACTACAGTACAGATGAGGTGCCGCGGGAGAAGAAGAAGACCGCGCCCTGCTGGACCTGCCCTCCGCTCCGTCCTCTCCTCCCATCGGGGTGGCACAGGCCCCGCGGCCGCCTTCATCTGTTTATTGTCAGCCGAGGCTGTCAGCCAAGAGGACAGACAGACACCGAGCCACGAGACTGTCAGGGGCTGGCGCGCGCTCACTCTGTCCTTTGGACCCTCACTTCAAGTAAAAGACGCATGAGCAGGAGCGCAGGTGCGCGCGTCTAGACCTGCGCTCCAAAACTTTCTCACCCCTCCTCTGAGAGTCGTTACAGTCTGTGCAGTAGGTGAGGAAGTAACAGACCTCTGACCACTGTTTTATTACTGAGCACGCGCCTTATAGTCACATTAAAATACTCCTCAAAGACCCCTTAAGGGCCCAGGACCCCAAATTGGACAACTTGAAGAGAAAGTGAAACAACAACTACTCAATGATTTTAGAGATTTCCTACATTCCCCAGAACTCCCTTTGAGAACCCACCAGAGAACAGACATGAACTTCATGAGGAGAGATTTCTTTCAGCTTGATTCAGCTTCAAATTCTGGTCTATTTGAGCTCCTCTTTTATTCATCAAATGCTTCCTAACTGAACTTCCCAATATCCTTAGAGATCAACAGGTGAATATTTATATTAAAATAAATGCAAAAAGCTAGAGGATCATTACAGTAACTCTGATAGGCCATGATTAGCATTAGATTATGCAAGAATCTATCTTGCCAGACTTCAATCTATGCATTTGTGGGCGGTACAGTGGTCAGTCAGTGGCTGTATATTAATAACACAACATAAAATCACTTTATACTATTTGATCGCTCACCCTCACTGGAGACGCTGAAAATATCTGGACGTTACGCCACGTTGTGAACAGCTGAGCAGAGATAATAATAATACACAAACAGACAACAAACTGAACCCCAATAATGATCACAAACTGCAGACAGACTGACGTTGAGCCAGGTGGAGGCTCTGAGATCAACCGTGGATAACGGAGCGGAGGTCCGGTTTCACCAACAGAGACTCGACACCCAACACCTCGCCTGCTGAGCCCGCTGAGCCCTCTGCTGATGTCATACCCTCCATCCAAACCGGGGTCTGAGGGCCTCCAGGGGCCTTCAGTAGGGCGCTCAGAAAGCGAAAGCGAAATCAGGAATAGATACTTTGAATTTTTTTATGAGATTTCAGGAAAATTGTCTAAAAACAGGACGCCTCTTTGACAAAACCTGTATCAAAGGAGGATGAAAAGTGTATTTAATGCAGCACTTAGGGATGAAAAAAATAACAATTTTCATTTCAACATCAGAGATCAGTGAAAAACGTCTCCTACAGCACAAAGTGACGCCATCCAATGTCTTGTTTTGTGCAACAAATGGTCCGAAACCCCCAAAATATCAGTAAAATAAGAGCAAGAAAAGCAACATATTCTCACAAACAGACAAAGTGTTCATGGTAACCAAATCAACTTCTTTCATGGGAAACATTACCTGGAATTTAGTAGGACCGGTGACTCAAATGAGTAAATAATAACAAATTCTCTCCGTTTCCAGTTAACATGAAGCCACTTTTCAGAAATGGTTGTCACACAGAAACTCTTGAAATCCTGCAGTCAAACAGTGACTTTTCAACTAAAACTTCAATAGCATTCCCGAGATGCGGCAACACCTTGAGTCAACATCTCACTGTGCTCCGAAAAGGGCCCTATCGACCGCTGTCAGCTCGTTATGCTCCCTCCGTTTACCCAAACGCAGGAAGAAATGACTTCAAAGCGAATCTTTAGACACAAACACGGATGATTTTATGGTTTTAAAACAAAGAGATATCAATAAAAAGATCCGGATGCTTGCAAACAAAGAGAAAACATTATTTTCTTGACTACATTTGAATGAAAGATATTTTTACTGTGTTAAAGAAAGTAAAATAAATGTTTAAATGTGGCTGTTTTATGCTTAAAATTAACTTCCTGTAGTTGATTTTGTTAATAACAGACAAAAAAAGCCATCAAAATTATATTTACATTTTTAATAAACCTCTCTAAAAATACTTTATTTCACTAAATTGATTTAAAACTTATTTAATTACATTTTCAATATAAAAGACTGCGTATGAACAAATCGAATTAAAACCACATCTATAATAGTGTCCTTCAAAATAAAAGTTTAAAAACAAGAAATGGTTTTAAAGGTAATTTTCCATCAAAAGGGGAAATAAAGCATTTCTAATGGAGTTGTTAATTATGGTCTGTGTGTGCGTCCTACTGCACGGGCTCATCTGAACAGTCCGACCACTTTCTTCTTCTTTGGTTTGGAGGACGGTCGCTCTGCAGGTTCGGACGTGACCGGAAGAGACTGTAGAGGACAAAAAGATTTTTGGTTTTAGGTTTTCATAAGTTTTTTTTTTTTTTTTACATCCTTCCTGCAAAATGATTTATTGTCTCTACGTGGAGTTTTACATCCGCTATCTTTTATACAACTGTAGAAGTATACTTGTTAAAAGCAGTACCACAATATTCTATTTTAGAGACAGTGTAATGATGTAACCGAGGAAGTAAATAATCATCTTAATAATTCAGATTATCGCACCTGCTGTACTGTGGGTCTGTCGACCATCTTGGCTCCAGCTGCGTCCCGGCTCTGCTCTCCGTCCTCAGCTGCTTCACTGCTGTGAGATCCACCTGGAGTAACATACTAATGTGTCTTATATTCTTTAAACGTGGTAAAACGTATTAAATGTTTGCACCCCGAGGACACAAGCTTCAACAGGACAGTGTTTTATTAACACTGCCACATTTAGGTCATGACTTTCAGTTGAAATGAGAATATTGATCAGGTGCAGCCCTGCAGCACTGTGAAGGTGTGTTTGACTGCTGAACTTCGGTCTGTGCTCTGGATAAAAGCTTTTATTACGTTTAGATTTAAAACTGAACTCCTGATGTGTTTGGTTTAAGTGTTTGATGGGCTGTAAAGAGCTGAGTGGCTCTTTGATGAACGCAAAAGTAAGCCTGAATATGTTTGTTAAGATGAAGGCTGAGAGACTAAAAGTTAAGATCTGCTCATTCTAGAAGAAAAACTCCATCAAGCTGATATTTCTATTTAACTGTGAAGCTTTAAGGAGTCAGCAAGGAGCTTTTTAGACATCAAATCAAACAAACCCAGAGACGAGGTGAGGTCTGGTTCTTCAGTGGGCAGCTGGTCCTCCTCAGACAGCTTCCGTTTCCGCGTGCACGCATTTCCGTGGGCGACGATGGCAGCGTAGAGGTGTTGGAGGTCGACATCAAAGCCCAGAGCGTCCTGCTGGTCAGAACACAGCAGAGGAAGGGCCTGATGGGAAGAGAAACACAGCGATGGAAAAGGTGTGTGAGGAGTTTCCTGTTATATATATATATATATAAAGAGAGAATACAACATTAAAACAAAAAAGATCTGATGAAACCTCATTGTAAAGCTTTTAAAAGTACAATATTTCACACACAGGCTTTTTAAATATTTTTATTCCAATTTGGTCCGATTTTTGTAGTTTTGTTATAAAAATAAAAGCAGTCAGATGGAAAAGACAATGAAGGCAAACAGTAAATTTATGACCCAAACAGTCTGTTAAAGGACCAGTGTGTAGGATTTAGTGGCATCTAGCAGTGTAGTTTCAGATTACAACTCCCTTGCTTCACCCTCCCCTTCCAAGCCATTGACAGTAAATATAATAGACAGAGCTTCTGGGTTTATGAAGAGCAACCATTGCAAAGTGTCCTCAAACTGCATTCTATGTACAGGCCAGCAGGGGGAGCTCCACTGGCTGCAATAAAAACCGATACCATTCACTGTAATGGAGAAATGAGCCGAATTCTCTCTTGATTTATGAGCTCAGATTCATAATGAGTTTATGGTCTCAATCTCCAGTTTCAGTCTCCACAGCCAATGAGAGCAGCTCTAGTTGCAGTATGTCACCTCCGCTGGCTCCGTCTAACCGCCATGGCGATGTGCCCAACTCGAGGCTTCAACACATTACTCCCCAAACCAACGCACAAAAACCAAGAACAGCAGTATCTAGAGCCAGTGTTGGGTTTGTCCATTTTGGGCTACTGTGGAAACAACGTGGTTCAACATGGCGGACCCGCTCCCTCTGTAGATAAAAACGGCTCATAAGGTAACGGATAACAATTCTTATTTTCATTATGGAAACAGTTACTCATATTATGTTTCATTCCTGACAATAGAGCCTCTTTAATGTTTCACATTGGAGCTTTAATTAAAAACTCACCAGTGAGTAGAAACTGGCATTAAAAAAACCCAACATAAAATGCACAAGCGTCCACTGTGTTTACCGTCATTAAATCACATGAGCACGACACCAGGCTGCTACAGAATAACCACACACACCTCTTCACACATCAGACGGCTCGGTTACAACCCTTCTGCTGTTCAGGCGGGAGACGTCGGGTTAATGGAGCTCATTAATCCTGTGCGTCGCAGCCTCCTCCTCTCCATTGGTGTTTTATGTTTTATTCTTGAAATGCATACAATTACAAATCAGGATTATGACTGGAATAAGCGGTTATATAAACGGCTTCAGCAAACTTTAAGATAATTATTCATTTCTATCCTTACTGCACTAACTGTAAAACCAACAATATGATCTCCTGATGAAGCCTCTTTCAATCTGTTGAGCTCGTCTGTGATTGGCTCAGCTGTTTCCAAGTGACGAGTGCAGTGATGTGATTGGCTGAGACTGTATTTATTGATCACTACCCTCCAATTTATCTTCCACTTGCAGCACTATCTCATAATTTTGATTCATCATCAGTATTTTTATCACACAAAACCGTCCATCCATTTGTTTCTTTTGGCAGGAGTGGGCTTCCGTAGAGAGGATAAGATGGCCTTTAAACTATCAAATAAGATTTTAGCTCTTCAGCCGGATTCAACAAATTGAGCTCAACATTTCAGATCAAATAATCTGAAGTGAGCTGGTTGGCAGCCAGAGAGAGGAGAGGAGGGGGAGAGTGAATAAAAAGAGAGAATAAGGTGGGCTTTCTGTTGCTTTCTCTCCCCCTCAGCACATTGGTTTCTCTGTGCCCAAAGCAGAACTAAGCCTCACCAGAGCATTTACATTTATTTTTACGATATTTAAACAAACAAATAACAAAAATAAATCAATGCAAAACCTCGAAACCTGACCAAAGTGTGTTTAGGAGCCCCTCTGCCCTGACAGCGAGCGAGAGACCACCAATTTCTCCCGGTCAATATTTGAGGAGCTAATTTGGAGAGTTTATCCTCGCCATTGGGGGGAAAAAAAGAAGGATTTAGTGAACAGCGGGTGTTTTTCTACGCGTCGGCCGTGCGTTTGCATAATGTCGCAGGAGTTTACACGCACCCTTATCTGTCAGACTTGTGGTTGATGGAGTCGGTGTGTGTTTCAGTTGTTCTACCTGCGGTCAGCTGTGATTTAGAGGCTTATCGCAGCCCCGACACACCCTGCATCACACCTCGGACATGTGACTCCCACAGCAGGGCCGTAAAACAAACATACCCATAACACCAAGCGGTGTCAAAAGGACACTTTAATGTTTTAAGTTCATGCACCTGATTATTTCTTTTTTTATTGTTTATTGATTTATTGGCTTCAAAGCTGCTGAAATGAGCAGGTCCATAAAACCTCAAATGTAAACTGTTAAATGATTCAGAGCTCAGAATACACAGATATAAAACACAGACAAGGAGCTGACCGAAGTGAAAGCGTGGATACATTTCTGCAGGCTTTATTAGAACCTGGGTCAACAATAATAATAACAACATGTATGTATTAAGTCAATTTCTAACATCTGGGATTAAATTACTAAAAGATAACTCCTCATATTTGTGTTTAGGAGGAAAATAAACACACATAAGATTATAAATTGGTGTGACGCTGTTCTTAAGTATATTCATTATCACATTAACCAAAAAACGGCACCTGCTGCGATTGAGAGTGCGAGAGAACTAGTTAGCAGGCAGCAGAAAAGTCAGAATAATACAATTAAAAGTGATGGATAAAAGATCTGTGGTTGTGGTTGTAGTATGAATCGAAACTTTAAAACAAGCTTTAAACCACTTTATTGGGTATTTAACAATAAAAGTGAACAAACCTGAAATGTTTTTTGTTTTTTATTCTTTTGGCAGAGAAGGGCTTCCGTACTCTGTATCTCTGTATTTTAGGAAAGGTACAAAAGTGGCCACAGGGTGCGAACATAACGGCGAGTGAGGGGACTGTTGTGTGCTGACCAGAAAGGAAACGCCAGACGAGGAATAAAAAGGTGATTACAGCAGGTCAACAACCTCTCGCTCCATTTTGTCGAGCTGAGTAATGCTCTGGAAAGTTCCTCCCTGTTCTTGTAACAGAACAAAGTCCTCTAACAACGGGGGAAACAGGGCTAAAGAGGAGGAAGCGGAGGACAGCTCACCTGGTGGTCACACCTCCAAATCGCCGCCTCTTGCCCCACAGCAAAGCATCGTGTGTGGGGAAGGTGATGAGAGGAAGGGGAGAGTTGGCAGCCTGTTGGTGTTTCTCTATTATTAGCAGGTAAACAGCTCTGATTTTAGACGGGCTGCTGCTGTTGTTGTTGTTCAGGTGGGGGTTCTGGTGCCGGAGAGTCTCACACTCGCTCTCCCTCAACCTCATCTCTGCTGCTGACCTCATGTTTACTCTCCCTCATTCCTCTCAACCTCGTTTTCTCTCGGAGTGACCTCAGCTTCCCGTCCCGCATCCCAGAGTGGTGCTTTCCGTTTGAACCCTTGAGGACTCGAGGTCACGTCCTCGGAAAAAAACTGCTCGAGGACGAGGAGGAGGATGACAGGAGCCAGGACCTGGAGTGATCAGCAGAAGGTCCAACGTACTGATTTGTTTTCAGAGCTTTCGACCACACTTACTGTAGGTCACATGATAATAACCATCTCAATGGCAAAATAACAAGAACACTGATGAGGGCCACAACATGTAGGTAGACAGCATTGGATGAGACAATTCAGTTGGTCTATGTGTTGAAAATGGGTTTTTTTAAAAGGGATTTTGATCTTTTCAGACACTTATTCCAGATTTTATCGATATCGAGGCATTTCTGTTAAAATTAAGTAAGACCATAAATTTCGCTGTGCATTTTTATAGCAAAATATGTTGAATTCAAATACTTAAATGTCCAGATTTGGACCTGAATCAATCAACAACACAGCAGGTTTTCAGCAGTTTTGGGGTTAAATCTCATCATGTCTGAATATGTGTATATTGAAAGTCAATACTTGTCCCGCACCAACAGAAATATGTCACATTCTCAACCTGAAGGGCAAGCCAACACGATGTCAGGTCAAGAGAGAGTTCAATAAGGCAGGATTAATGAAAAATTCACCCAAAACAAGACAGCTCGGTAACAAATGAGTCCAACAGTATTTTTAGCCTCTAGAGCTGAGACACTCAAATCCAATGATCTAACACTACTGGACATGTGAAGCAAAACAAACAGAGGCAGGTGAAATCTCCTATGATCCTCTCTGCTCTGACATCATCCACACCTTCACTCCATTTACCTTCCACCTACCCCTCTGTCCTCGTCCGCTGTCCCTTCAGGGTCGTGACACACAGAAAGGTTTACACGGTCACAATAATACCACAGCGGCTGCTGTTGCCTCCGCGGGACAAACAGCACCTTGTAATTCGGTTTTTCTCCGTCATGACAAGAACTGGTGTAAACTTATAATATGCACCTGAAGAAATGTATAAATAAAGCACTTTGGTTAGAATACGTCACATTGTTTCGCCAAATGCTTGCCCATTAAGTTTTGTCTACTAGTGAAAGAAACAAGGCTTATTTACGATGGGTTCAAACAGCAAAGACCTAAAGTGGATTTCTACCTTTTAAGTCTATTTTTCTCCATTTTAACTGCGTAACAACAGTGACTAATCTCGTTCGAGAATCGCATTATAGATCACTGCACAATACATGCACTAAAAAACAGGAATCTCAAAAAAGTAAAAAAAAAGTCTTGTTTCTGGGAAATGAGTCTTATTTTTTGTCTAAAAAGAAAATCTTGTCGAGCATGTTTTGCATTTGAATCTGGTTTTAAGACAATCTAACTAACTTTGTCATAATAAGATATTACAGCTAGTATTGAGCTCGATTTAACCAGCAACAACAATGGTTGCATAATATCCCAGTTATTTTAAGAGTAATTATTATTTTTTGTTGCTAATTATTAATCTTATATCCAGCTCAATAAAGCGACCAAAAATACGTATTTTAATAAAGTCTATCTTAAAAAGGTTTTCATTGCTTATATTATGCACAACTGCATTTAAA